GGATGGGGCACCCACAGCTTCTCTGGGCAGCCTGTGCCAGTGCCTCAGTCAGTCACACTCATGGTCTCCACTCTGTTCCTCCCATGAGAGGAATACTCTGACATTCTTAACATCTGAAATGTTATTAAGTCAAGGTGTTGTGGAAGGGAAAAATCTGGGCACAGCTTGAACGCATTAGCACAAGCTTCAATATTTGGCTACACCATCTTCCTTGTGTCCCCCTTGTTTGATTGACTGGGTATGGATCCCTTCAGCTCAGACCCGCAGATTGTTTCTGTGTCAGCAGTCCAGGGCAGAAATTATTATTGTAATAAAACCGTACTGTTATACTTGGTGTTCCCCCATGTTTATTTTTAAAGTGCCTCAAGGCCATTAATCACCAAATGAAGTACATCAGAACTCAGGTTGCGATGTTCCAATAATTCACATCAGGACTAAGTGTTTAGAGCTACGTGATCCGCCTTTCAAAAACGAGATGAAGAGATCTTTTGCCAGCCATCCCATTATAAACAGGCTTCTGGCCCATTTTCATGGAGGACTAATCCCGTAAACTGATTGTTGGTGGACATTTGTTGAGGCAGCTGTATGCCTGCAATTGGAAAGCCCTTATTGGTAGTGTACATTCAGATATTGCCTTGGCGAATTTTCGTTAGTAACTAAATGTTGCATGTGAGATACGTTTACCTGAGTTCAGATAGGAAACCCTTCTGCCTCAGGCACTGCTCCCTTCTCTTGCTGTTTGTGATCTTTTCCTTGAGTCGGAGTATTATCAGGATCATGATGAAAAAGCGTAATAAAATAAATGACCTGATGACTAATGCACGGCTCAGTCCAGAAGAGCCAGAATTAGCATCCTGTCCAGCCAGGCAGGGACAAGGGGTAAGATGGGGCTGCCTTGGAAGATGCAGGATTCAGCCTTAAAGGCCAAGTGGTGCCTCGTGCCACAGCCCTGGTTTTGTGGGGCTCCCCCAGGCTGACCGAGGGTGAGCGTGGGCGCGCTCTGTCATCCGTGGGCACGGGGCATCCACCACCCAAAATCAGCCAGGGGCAGGAGTCGAGCGGGGGTTGAAACACAAATTCGATGTGCTACGGGCGCTCATTGAGAAGAATGAGATGGATGCGGCGCACCGATAGCAGGATGTGCAAGAAGTGATAAATGGTGGTGGGTGGGGATGTGCGTACAGGCACTGGCCCAGGCCCAACTGCGTTTATAGGCTTCCGTTTCCCATTGAGGCTTGCAGCCCCCCTCTTAATTTCCTACGCAGGAACCTAACCAGCGTTAGGGTCATAAATCAAATGAGGTAGAGCACACGAATGTAGTCTTGTGCCTGTAAAATCTATTGTTGTTTTTTTTTTTAAAAAAAAGCAGATCAGAGTAAATGACACCAACCCTGTATTGTCCGACAGTACAGTTTAAATGTCAAAAAATACAGAAATAAATGTAATAATACCTACAGCATTGTTTGCTTTATGGAGTATTAACCTAATTGAAGAAAGACACCCCAAAGACAAATTATGTCTCTCTCCTGCCCAAGCTTTCTCCATATTAAAAGGGATGTCAATAGTGAGTCCCTGTGGGAAAGATAGGAGTTAACAGCATCAATAACCTATCTCACATTACACAAAGAAATCTTTGCCCTCTGTTTTCACTTGTATTGCTGTGTCTAAGGCTGCTAGGTGTGGGCTGAGTGTTGTGTGAGAAGCTTTATAAACGTAGAATAAAAATGCTGCTCGTTCCGCTGGCAAATTTTTACAGAATAATAAAAATGAACATCTGCAGGGCTGATCCAACACAGACTTCAGAACAGGTATGCTGTTACCTAAATTAAATCTCAAACTATCTACAAAGAAATCTCAGATGAATGGGAAGAAATAAATCTCAAACATAATGGTAATCTTGTAATACCTGTCCTAGATAATGTTGTATATGAATCCCGTGAAAATAGGCTTGACACATTGAGTGTATGGACACTTTTAAAACAGTGATGAAGCAGAAATGTGATTTAATTACTTAAAGAATATTCTTGATGTTGAATCTGTGGTATTAGTAGGACTGCCATGTTGCTGCAGGTAAGGAAGATGTACTCTGGACTTTGTAGCCCTGTTGATTTGCCAGGAAGATGACTTGTGTCTTAGTCAATGAAATGTTTGACTTCTTTTTTGGGGTGCATGAGCAGAATGCTGTTTATGAAGCATGGAGTGGTATTTCTTCCTGTGTGAGGTGCTGACCCTACGTGAAAGCGGTGGCTTTCTTCTGGGGTCTCAGCTTCAAAAATAATTTGGATAAATTGAAATGTTTAAAATGCTAAAAAAAATTGGTTGAATTTGGAAAATGGGCCCTACAGCAAAGGGTTGGTGCTCTGTATCCGAGGTGGAGCTGCTGGATGACTTTGCCACCATCTCTAACTATCTGTATGTGGAGCAGATTGCTAGTAAGAGCAAATAGCCTTTTTCATGGTCGTGGGGAAGAGCACAAGTAAACCCAAGGTTCACAAATGGAAGTGAGACGAGTCCAGAGGAGTAAGAGGGTGCAGGACTGGTGTTGGCCTGCATACTGTACTGCAGGCTGACTTCTGTGCTTTGGCTGCAGGTTGGCAGCGTTGTCACTGGTGTGCTGTGTTTAGCTGCTGGCTTGGATGTAGCAATGCCAGAAATGTCACCTGGAGCCATTGCAGGTCTCCAGTCCATGCTGCAGCCCCCAGGAGGACTCCCCTCGCCAGGGGTGCGGATGGAGACACCAACACTGCGCATTGTCAGCTGCTGCACAGACAAAGGGTTATTCTTTGTCTGTAGCCAAAATTAGCAAAAATTCACTTCTAGGACAGGCTAAATTAAAAAAACAAACAGTTTTACAGTAAAATCAAAGCTATCCAAAGATTGGATCTGCTGAAATCTTTCATTAACCTTTGTGTTTCTGTGCTGTTTCTAAGATGTGCCAACTTTTAAATGAGATGTAATTGCACTTTTTTTTTTTTTAATTGACATATATATATAGCTGAATATGAATATACATATATATATATATATATTTTTTTTTTTCAGCTAAATAATTAATCAAATCTGCTGTGAGTTTGTGAGTAGTTTAATTTGTCTCAGGAAATGTAATTCTTAAGTGTTTCTGCCATCTCTAACATCAGCCAAAAATGTCCAGCCTGTGGGTTATGTTCAGCTGCTTTGGGGTATGAGCGATTAGAGGGTAGGAAATAAATGGAAGTAGCTTTGGAAAATAATCTGACAAGAGCATGGAGCTGCAATGGGTTTAAGCTGCTGTAAGGCAGATTCAGATGAGATATGGACAGGGCAAGCAAAAAATAAAGGTACTGAAGCTTGGGACTAGCTGGTGTGGGGAGGCTGCGGAGGTCTCACAGAAAAGGCCAGGGGACATCTCCACGGCAGGAGATGCAGGTTTTGCTCTGGGGTGGCATGGTGGGATGTGGTGGCCTCCTGGTACCTGAGCCTCTGATGCCTCATCCTCCTCCTCTGTGAGCTGCTGATGCCAAGCTGTGTTGGTGAAAGTTGGTGCAGGAGCACAGCCCGCAGTCAAGCTGGCAGGGGCAGGAGAGGTTCTCAGCACAGCACTGAAGCCCGCGGCCAGAGCTTCCTGTGACTTTTATTAAGCTGGCATTTTGCACGGTGCTTGCCAAGCAGGCAGGACTGTTTGAAGGTCGGATGTTCAGAGGAAGGAACAAAGAGCCCCCGGACCTTTATTTCAGAGGAAAGAATTCAAGGAAAAAAGGAAACGCCATTGGAATAAACACATACAGAATGAGTAACTTATGAGTAACCTTTTGGATGGAGCTGCCTTTGCTCCATCCATGGTAATAACAGAAAACAAAATATTAGAAATGTAATTAATTTTAATGTATTAAAGTTATAAAAATCATTGCGCACACACACATTTTACATATAATTTCCAAACAAGCTGCTCATTTGTAGCTGCAGTAGTACATGGGGATTTGTACCTTACTGCCAGGGCTGCAGCAGTAACTCAGCATACACAGCACGAGCTCTTCATTAGGAACAAATCTCCACAGAGAACTGTGTTTCTACAACTGATAAGCACCCACAGGGCCTGTTTTCAGTTGTAGTTTCTTGCTGTGTTAGATCAGCAGTGCAGCTGCCCTCAGCAGGACAGGCCTTGTGCCACAAGCAACCGATCTCTGCAGCCACATTGGCCCTGCTCACCCAGAGGACCCCATGGCAAGAGCGACCCGCTGCTCTCCTACAGCAAGCTCTGATCACCAGGCACCAGGATTTCTGTGCAAGGACTTTCTGTTCTTCAGCTCTTAAACAGCCAAGGAGGTTTAGGTCTACCCTGGCAGTGAGTAAAGTCTAGCAGGGCTATTTCAGACTCTGTGATATGGATGAAAGACAAAACAAAGGAGCAGTCCTTGCCCTAAAGCATAAAAACTACTCTACAAGACAGAACTGCCAGGGGTGGTGGTGAAGTGGTCAGTCACAACATCTGGAATAGGCTGGCCTCTCTAAGAACAAGGGGTGAAGTGCAGGAGAGACTCTGAAATGTCTCTTTTCTGTGTTAGATGAAGTCAGACACCTGTATGAGAGGTGTGCTTTTCCTGCCCAGCTCTGCACTGCTTTGTCTTGCCTCAGACCAGAGCACTCCTGGGATAAATGCAGTTGGGATAAATTCACACAAGACCCCAAGAAGAGTTTTACCTAAGTGGAGGGCAATGGGGTGAGTTGAAACCCAACCATACCTAACTTTGGAGAGAAAGCTGCAGCAAAAGCAAGGACACCCTCTAGTGTTTGGAGAGTCCCGAGAACACAAAAACAAAAACAAGCCAACCAAAGCAGTATTTATGAGTTAAAAAGCACGAAAGACAGAAAAGTAGGTCTGAAAGCAGAGGGCATAAATGGTCTATAAACATAATCCATCTGGGTTTTGACTTTTGAGATGAGGTTACTGGTAGACAGCTTTCAGCAATTTGCTTTGGTAATTAATGCTGTTTAATTATCTTCATAATTAGGAGCATGCAGGAAGTGGGAACGGGCTGATAAAAACAACCTGCTAATGAAAAAAAACCTTGGTTGGGGCACCAGCACAGGAGAACAGGGTTGGAGTGTTAGCACTGGGCTGAGGCAAGCACAGTGCCCATAAAGGCCACAGGTCCCGAGATCACAGATGAGAACGACTTTGTAATACGTTGGCTGTACAGCTGAGGTATTCAGCCCGGATTTAGGAGCTCTGATCTGAAGTGGCATCTCTGTCGAGGTAAGGAAAAATGAGGGCTAGAAGTCGGGAGGTGCTGCTATGGTGCAGCAAGCCCTGACCAGCAGGTTGTAAGTTATTTTGGCAGAGGCATCTTCCATTTCTCCTGCTGCCAGTGGTCCATAAGCTGTGATGGCTGGCGAGGTGCAAGCCTTGCACATCAGCCTGTGTCTCAGTGCCTTGGGCTCTTGCTAGCTCCTTCATTCAAGCTCTTACGCCATGCAATATGCTTGTTATTTATCCTGGATTGCAACATTTCACGTGGAGGCAAATGGCAGAGGTAAGAAGACCACCAGGTATCACTAACATCCCTGCTCTCTGTTCAGGAGAAAGTAGGCTGAATTTGCCAGACCTGAGCAGAGGATTATGCTGTACCAAAGCTGCTCTGCTCCTGGATGGAGCCAGGCCTGGGGGCTCTGCCATATGCACATCATTATGTCCCTCAGGATGCTCGTGTTCCTGAACGCAGCTTGGGCAATACCATCAGAGCTCAGTTCACCTAAGCCTGTGTGAATGGCAGCATAAATACATTAACTAAGTCTTTGTTGATTTTTTTTCCCACCTCCCCCCAGGAAGAAAAATTCTGCCGACCCTGACATTTACAGTAGACATTATCTGCTCTGTGACATTTGGTCTTATAAACTGAAGCTGGCCAAATTTCCATCCGTGACTTACCCCGCTGCCATAGCCAAGGTACTGACATGAATCGCCGACCCTTTTCTCCAAATAGCAGAGCACCTGCCCCCCTTTCGAGGTACATAGGCACAAGTGGCATTGATGAAGGGCTGAGCCCCAGGAACACACGGGCAGCGTGATCAGAAATTGTGGCAGAGCAGGGAACTGAAGGAGTGCCCTCTGTCCTAGTCTTGTGCCATAATGATTTTTTGTGATCCCGAGGCCAGGTGACAGCAGCGATGCCACACTGCTGCCGCTGACATCCAGGCACTTCTTGAAATGGAGGAGAATCAGGACGAAATTCTCCTTATTCAAGTCAGCTGAAGCAGTGGTAATGGTGGTTTTGTGTCTGCATTAGCCCTGGAGTGGATGGACAGAAACAACATAACCTTGCTGTAGGCTCTGCGGTTGGGTAAGTAAAGATAAATGGACAACCACAGAGCTGATAAATTAGAGGCTAAGGCAGGGACTGAGGAGCAGAGGGCTTGCCTGAAGTCCTCTCACCCACTTTGTCCCGGAGACTCCAAATGGCAGCACTTGCTTCAGTTTCATTTCTGAAGGAGGATCATGAAGAGGATTTATCACAAGCTATGCCTGTCTTGCCAGTAATTTTCATTTGTACAGAGCTCTGCTTGCAGAACAAAGATTGTGTAGTAGATATTACAGGCAGGGGACACCTTGTCTAGCCCACAGCCTGTCTGTCCGTGGCCAAGGAGCAGTGCCTGTGGAAAGCATTAAATGCACCTGGACATATTTTGTAATTCACTGTTTGCAGCAGGTGTGGATGAGGCACTATGCTAACAAACCACTGCTGTTAGGGAACCATTTGAGCCACCTGTGCCTTTAGTCCTGCTGAGATCTGGAACTTGGTTCAGTCACTCCAGTGGAGTTTTGTGTCCTGCTTAACATAGTCACAACTGAATTTACCATCTAACGTGGAGGACAGTGATGCACAGCACAACTGTGTGACACACCAGGGCTGAAAATACCATTAGAAAACAGTTCTAGGGCCAGTGAGCCCAATGTAACCTTTGCTCGTTTCAGTTTAGGGAGACTCTCTGAAGTGAAAGCATCTTTGCTATGCTGAAGGTCTATGTAAAACACGTGTACTCCACGGTGCCCACATCCCAGCCTCATTTTCCTGAAAGGAGAATGCAGACGGGCTACCTGTAGGTGTCAGTCTTGTACTAGAGAATGGCCACGGTTATTTTTTTTTTTTTTTAAAGAAATCTCATCTCAGACTTGTTCTACTTAGTAAGTAAATAAAATACAAAATAGTGGACTACACTGGGATAAACAATTAACAGTGACCCTCACTGAATTTTGTTAAACGGATTTACCATTACATACACCCCACCCAGAATTAAAGCTCTTAACCATACTGATGCCTTGTGACACAGAGGTGTGTTCATATTAGGGAGACTGGTTTACCAAACCTGACAGCCGTGCTATTGCTACAGATCTGTTAAATGGCATCTCCCCTGTAATGATCTCCATTTTAAGAGTTTGTGGAAAGCCTGTAGATTAGCTCTTCCAGTCATCTTACTCAAGGGGTTATATTTGTTTCCGGACTGTGAGGTTCAATGATTTCCAACCTACTGCAGTGGTAGAAGAGATGAGCAAAATCACTGTCATAAAAATTCAGAATATAGTTTTATATTCTGAATATATTCTGAAAAAATATATTTATATATAGTCATGTTACTTGAATTATGCGGTGTCCTTCCAGAGCAGAGGCCTCTGTGCACAAGTTCCTCAATGTACCCATGAAATCACAGATCTGACCCAAATGCAGTGTTGTACTCTCTTCATGAATTGCAGGGGGCAGTAGCTGATGTTGGTAAGTATTGAAAAAATGTATGCAGTGCTTGAAAAACAGACTAACCAATAAAAAAAGCCCAAATCTGTTAAAACAATACCCTCTAGATGTGTAAAGGCTTTTATAAAGTTTGTTGTAAAAATAACGACCCAGGAAGTATTCTGTGGTAAGAATATTTTATATATATATTTTTACACTTTTAACACTTACAAAAACATTCAAACACAAAAAAAAAATTAAATAACTTTGGAAGCAGAACAAGTCTTTCTGCCTACATACATACAACAATTCCGAGCTGTTGGCACACAAAGTAATCCACATTCATAAAACCCTTACTACTATATCAAACATAAGTTAAGTAAATCATAGGCACTAGTTTATCAAATCCATATTTCCACACTTCTGCAGTAATCTCTAAACACAGAGCCCCATGATTTCCTGATATCAATAAACTGGTAATGCACAAAGGCTTTTAGTGAACAGATAGTCTGTTTCTTCAGGAAGTTGTTAGCTGTATTCCAGGGGGAGTAGAACGGCAGAGGAAAGAATGCTTACAGAACTGAAGCTGAACTTACCCAAGTGATGAATTACTTAACTTAAGGAAACGTATTACAACAGTTTGATGCAGCCATGGTAAAACCCCAATATTGTCATCTAAACTGAATCGCAAAATTTAAAAGTCTGTTAAGCATTTGATAAAATCCACCAATTAAAATTCATCTTTTGTCAATGAAGACTGCAGCATTGCTTTATAAAAAGCTGAAATGTTAGAATTCAGGCTTTTATGGGAAGAGGTGCATTTGATCTCTTCTGCTCACTAGTTACATGATGCTGCCTAACTAACATCCGTTACCTGCACCAGCAAGTGACACGAGGCTACGTTAGTGCCTAAGAGTGGTCTACTGCTGCCAGGTAGTTTCTTTACTTCTGCTGAAACCTTGCTGAATTACAGTATATTTGATACCCAGACTTTAAAGTCTCGACACAGATCTTGGTCTGGAGTGTGAAGTCACTCGTCAATCCAAAACATGCCTACAGCTGCTGGAGTAATTAGAGCTGCAAATCAGTCTTCACTCCTTCCTATTTGGCTTCTTCCAACTCAAGTAGTATTGCATGGCTTTTCATCCAGGAATATGCTAATGCTAGCCTAAAATTCAAGTGCCAGAATTTCAGGGTTAGTTATCCTCATGGTGGTGGGAATCAAAATACACCTGCAGTTCCAACCTCAGATACTAACGGGGCTGAAGGCTACCTACCGTCCAATCCAACCTGTAGTGTTCGTCAGTCATTGCACAAAGGATACCATTCACATTCTGTTACTTCATCAACTGTACACCCAAAATACTGAAAAAGCTTCAAACAAAATCCCTTCCATTTAACTAGTCCCACCCAATACAACTTTAGTTACAAAATTTTGCATGATGTCTTCCGGAACAGAAAACAATGGTTCAAATGGTAATTGTATGAATGAGTTGCTTTGAGCAAAATGTGAGTGTTAGAATAAGTCAGAGCCACTGGAGGAATTTAATAGCTTGTAAACAGACATAGCAGGTTTCATACTCTGTTACCAGTAACGTAAGATACACATATGTAAGGCAAAGTACATATTTAAACACACTTACATGGGCAATATCTTCTGTAAAAATATTTACAATTTAAAATAAACCAATTTAAGAAATGGATGAAAGTAAAAAAATAGGATACAGAAAACTCCCTCATACCATGGAACATCACCTAAATGAATATCATTTGGCATCAAGAGTCAACTCATTACCTTAAAATTTGTATGTTACAAGTGCATAGTTGTGTTTCCTTCTCCGTAACTACCAGCATTTACAGTTTTGTTCCAGGCTGCAAGCATAGTGGTATGGTATTCGAACAAAGCAACATTACTACTTGCTCTTTCCTTTTCAAGGAAACCTGCTATAAAAAAAAGTTTTCCCCAAATAGCGTGCCATGTGTTAAAAATGTGGCTACAATAGCAAAGGCCATCTTTCCTGAGCCAGAAACGTTAAGGTTAGAAAGATTGTACAGATGATACGAAGCCCTTTTGGCAATCAAACATATAAGAGCATGTAAAGCTGATAAATCAACGTTGGAAAGATGCAATCTATACTATTGTGTTTGTGTACGTCTGCTACATTCAAACCTTCAACGTTAATAAAAGCCATGGCTACTATTTACTGTTCTACCTAAGCCTCCAGAGTAACTTCTGATTCTTTCTGAAGGATGTACGTACCACTTTCCCCAACGAGAATCTCAAACAATTGTGAAAAGCAATGTTCTGTTAGCACTGTAGCAGTCTGCAATCAGAATACCCACTCTGATTAATGTGGTCTTGTTTTAATAGTACATATTCACCAATCATTTTGCTGATTTAAAACAGTTTAAAATGAAGTTTAGGACAATCTAAGTTGACTGTTATACTTGCTCTTTTTCAAGATGGGCATTTCTTTGGCATTCGTTAGGTTTTTGCCCAGACATTGGCCACTGTCATAAATGCTCAAATTGATATATTTTTAGCAAGCAAGCAAAAAAAAAACAAAAACGAAAACCAACAACAGAACTGAGAGCAATTTAATGTGGAAGTGATTGTATGATCACCAAACATCTGATGTTAGATGTCATTAAAGTGCTGCTTTATAATCTCTGCCAGTTTGTGCTAATTAGAGACAGAGAGGTCTGGAATTTTTACAAATCCCAAAAGTCACATCTGAACAGTCTGTATAATCGAGCTGTCTGTTAGTCTGGTGAGGAAGCATCCATGAGCACTGGAACTTTGCATTACACTTTGCAGTTCAATAGCAGCCGTCTTTCCAACTTTCGTCTTTCATGTTACCATAGGTTTTAGGAGTGGGTAATGATCTAAAATAAAACGAGATATCTTTTAGCTTCATACAAAACTGCTGAAGTCTCCATCTATAATACATAAGAACTTAAACATTTTGTAAATAAAATACACACTTTGTTCATTTGCTCCTCTGCAATAGTTTACTTAACATAAACCCCAACGTATTTTCAGTTTATGTGTTATGTCTTGACAATTACCACATCAGAAAAACACATGCATAACAAGACAGAAAACTTTACTGTTTGATTTCCTGCTATTTAAAAATTGACAATTTTTTCAGTGATGTATAAACAGGGAAATCCTCATTTAGAATATCACAGTATTACATTTTGCTTACATCAAAATTTTGAAGTTCACAGATACTTCGTTACTGCATTGCCTATAGATACGGTACGCTGTACACCTAAACTTTCAAAACAACAGCTGCGTAATAAGTGAAACACTTCTAAGACCAGTTGTGATTTGGACAACCACACTTTGCACATTATGAATTTCCTGTCAAAAACAACTGCTGTTTATTACATGAAGTTTCACACTGCTGACAGAGTGCAAAGCAGTCAATATTGTGAGAGTCACTTGTTGTTCCCCTGCCCAACACTTACTTCAGAACACAATTCTCCCACTTTGCTATTTACGGCTGTTTCATCTTTTCTTTAATACTGGAGACCAAGTGTTTATCCTTTCTGTTTCAGGGGATTCTCAATATTCCTCATGGATGACTGCTTCCTTACATCGGATGGCTTCCACTTGACACCTCCAGTGACAATGCATGTTAGCATGGCATTACGAGCCATTCTAAGTGCACCACTTCCTTCTATTCTCCTGAAGACAAACTGTCTGTGTAGACTTTCCAGCTAATAAGTAGCTTCTCCTGTAGTTGCTTTTCAAAACTCTGATATTAAGCAACTTCTACAGCTGGGTTCTAGCACAGAGGTTATGTTTGAGGTGGAAACTCTCTTGTGTCCTGTGTCTTAACTGCCTTGATATTTATGGTAAATTTAGAATATGCTATGGATGCCCCTTCTGTCCTTAACATGTCTTCCTTCCCAAAGTTTCTAGCTACCCAAGGAGAGAAACAGTTCAACTGTGGTGTCATTGCTTGACAAATGAATTGCAAGAACTTCAACAATTCTGACTTCAGGATGTGTCACTCAGTGGTAAAAATGGATTTTCACTTGCCAGCTACATTTTGCTGATTTTTTTTACCACAAGGACAATTGCTTATTGCCTTCTCAGCCCAGACTATGACACTTATGTACTTTGTTTGGTATCTTTTGTTATTCATTTCAGCTTCACTCCTTCATCTTTACACTTTAATTCAAGTCTTTTTCTCTCAGTTTTGCTTCAAATCTATTTTGGAAAGACATGTAAATGGTCCACAAGGGGGGCTCCATTTCCATCATTTCTAAAGACCCTGAGACCAAAGTAAGAACGGCAGAAGGACCAGCAGACATACACAACGTACCAAGTACAACACGAAAACTTCACATTAAGACTGCCTTTTACATACTCACCTGCGAACAGGCTGTGCAAGTTTGCTGCGAGGCACTGGGATGCCCCCTGCAGAAGGGGCACTGGGTCTGGGTAAACCACTCCTCATCCCTGCTGTCCCTGCCGGTCTGGTAAGAGTCGTGCTGTTAATACTGCTGGCAGGGCTTGGCAAGCCTGAACTCTGAGCCCCAAGAGGCCCTGGTGAAGAACTGCTGTGCGTCAGCTGCGTGGCTTCTGGAGAAGCAACAGAACTGGGTCCATGGTTACTAAATGCTTTCACCGGTTGTCGGAGAGCTAGGGGAGATGGTGCTGCAGGGGAGCGGAATTTACTTGAAGAAGGTACTGGAAAATAAAATACAGAAGTTACTTTCAAGCTTAACTTACGGTATAACTGAAATTAAAAACAGGGAATGATTTTATGTGCAAATTCAAACAATATGGAATGTGTAATGGAGTACAGCCAATCAAGCAGCAATGAGAAACAGGAATTCAGATGTCCTCTTTGTCATGTGTTTTTGATATCGTAATTCTAACACTCCATTTACCTACTATGAACATTTATCTGGATTTATAAGTAATGCTAAGGCTTTAACCATTATAACCACTGAATCAAAAGAAATAGAGGTGAATGTGTTTGTTAATAAGAAATTTAGCTGCTTCAGAAATGTGTACTTAATTTCCATCCCTAAAACAACACATTCAAGAATAGAGGATTCTAATGGCACATTTCTGTGCATATTTCTGCTTCATCAATTGCAACGATGAAGCTCAGAGAGTAGGGCATCTTTTATGCTCTTCTTGACCAGGTCCACTGCATTGGGATTCACCTCACGATATGGTCAAGTTCAAGCTTTACTGTCCAAAGGCAGAAAAAAGATACGGTCAGTCAACTCCCCAAATCAAAGAGACTAAGATGCAGCTACGGAACGTGTATCAGACAACTGTGACAACTTATAGCCTTCCTCTTCTTATAAACATTATCTGAATTATCCAGTAGAACTAATAGCTGAATTCAAATACTTTGTGTCTGAGTTAGTATGTAAAATGCAAGTCTTTACCAAGTCCTTCCTGGGAAAGGTTAGTAGGCCAGTAAAAACCCATTTATAGGCTTAGACCTACTAGAGGGCAAACTAGACGGTCTGTGCAAGCCCTTCACACAAGGTGCACACACAAACGTATGCCACTGATATTTTATTCTTGTACAACCTATATTTCACTCCATCAATAGCAAGAGTTCTTACTTATTATAAACATAGAAATTACTTATGAATTTTAATAGACAGCTGGCAATGAATGACAATTGATCCTCACAGTGAAATACTGACTACGAGAATATTCAAGTCCTTTGGTAGCGCCAAATCTTCAGCGCAGTTCTTTATAAGCATCCAAAATATTTTCAAAATAAGCAAAAATTATCAATAAACAGAATACTTGAATCTAATATAATACTAATCCATCTTCTTAATGGAATTTCACCAGCTTTTCAAGCTGATTAGGGTTTTGGTGGAATTCAGTAACAGCTGGACAATCAAATCTATCAGGAAAAGAAAACAAAACCACATTTACATTGTGACCTTGCATGAACTATTTTTTCTTCTACTAAATAAACTTCTTTACACAGAGACAAAGCTGATTTCCTCTTTGACAGATGTTGTACATAAAGAAGATGGTCCTTCACATGGCATTTACTATCATTTTACTAAACAGATCTACTAAGAACAAGAGGAGTTAGAGAAAAATAGACTAGTGACTAGCGTCAAGAACACAAATCCTAAATGGGGTACAGAGGAAGTAGTATTAGCAGGTTGTATTTTGAAGCTATCCCTGATAGGGGATGTCCAGGAAGATTAATATGTGCCTCATTATAGATGTGAATTGGATTCGATTCCTTACTGGATTACCCAAGAGGGCTTTTCCACTGACAGCAAAATCAAACAGCGTGAAGCCGCCCATGGGAAAAGCTGACAAAAAAGGTGGTAGAGATGTCAACAGTACATGACAATTGGTAAGTAGCAAGGAGAATACATAAAAACCCTTAACACAAAAACCTTGGTGTCAAGACAGATGGTGGGTTACGGAAAGCGCTGCCATCAGAATGACTGGACAAGAACGGCAGCAAAGTACTCCTAGGACTAAGACGGATGACATATTAGGAATTTTTTGTAAATGTGAAATTTCCTGTAACACTGGTGTGTGTAATCAAATCTGCAATTTCCAAGTGATTCAACAGTCTAAACACAGGGAGCTTTTATCACTAATTTTCTCATCACCATACTTGCTGGAATACAAATCCTGCACCATGCTAGCAACTGACCTGCTGAACAACTGCCAGCCTGTAAAAACTGAATTCAGCTTTTGGGCCTGCTAATGAGAGTTCAGGCACTAACCTTTACCATGGGGAATAGGTTCAAGGTATGAAATGCAAGTAATGAAAACCTGAAACTGAAGAAAGTTCGTCACTTTTCCAATTAAAGCGAGTATCCAGCAAATTAGTTCTCTTGTTCCCCAGTGTTGACCATATTTTACCATGCTTCCAACTTGAGCTGTCAGTTCATGTTTCCTGTCAGCACAAGCATTGCAGGCATTGCTGAGAGCTGTATTCATCCTTTTACATAAAGGAATTAATTGTCTCCCAATGTGCAGTGATCTCCAAAGCAGTCTACATGATGCAATCATTGGCAAATTGCCTAATAATTGCTCTGCATGTGAAATCTTTTTTCTTGGAGCAGTTTTGGATATTTAATAAAACATGATTTGGCCTATTTGTAAGAGAGGATTAAAAAGAGTGAGGTACTGCCTTAGTCAAATCCATTTGATGTTGCATAGCCATCTACAGTATTGAACTGGTAGATGTTTAATAGAAACATGTAAGGGTAGTGTTTAACAACACTACACCACTCCATCCCCTTAGAAACTAAACAACTAACTAGAACCAACTACAAGTAAAACCTGTGGCAATAATACAAACTCAGTGGCACCGTGCAGTCACGACACTTGGATTTCCCACCCTCTCATGATTCTGTCCTTGATTGCAGGCAGGGAGCAAGTGATCCCCACCTGACAAAGTTGGATGCTGTGAGGCTACAATTATCTGGATTGCACCACAACCTGAAACCAGAATCAATTCAGGTGCAGCTGTTTAATAGTAACCATTGTTATGAAATGATTCAGACTGGAGACAAAATTGCTGCTCAGTAGTAATCTAGTCTTTTGAAGTTGTTTCATTTCTGAACAATGCTTCAATAATCCCAAGAATCTCGTGCTTAGATGAGAAACACAAAAATCAACGTATCAAGGGCTATAAAACAGCAAATAGCTGAAAAGACCACGTTGGGTCCTCATTTTCAGTGACTCATGACAAGCTGGAACATGTAACTGACAGTGGAATGGGTTCTGTTCCTCCCTCTTTAAGGTAAAATAAATTCTTGAAAATAGTATAAACTCAAAGACAAGTAAATTTATGTACATTTCAACAGCTCCAGACTGGGCCATCAACACTATAAGTGTTCAAGATAACCAGCTGACAGCAAAGGCATGGCCAACTGGAAAGACAGCGCAAAAAGATTTGTGAAGGAATCAGAGATGATGGTCATGTGCCAAAGCAGAACACTGAGACAAATTTTCTGCATCTGGTAAGAAATGTCGTGAAGACAGTTAGAAACCTCCTATCAGCCACGTGAATCTGTTTCAAAGTCATTATACTTTGTTATTTCAGCGGAAGACAGGACAATAAGACTTTCTGCATGGAATGAAGTTGACTCCAAGAAGTTAGCATTATTAAAGCACTGAAAGGTGTTTTGTTATCCACCTTCAGTATGTGCATGAAGGATTCTCACTATTTTTAAGAGATTCTAACTATATATATATATATTAAATGAATTGGTCCCAAATGAAGTATTTTTAAAATGAAATCATCTAAGCTAGTAATAGGCAACAGGACCAACTACAGTTGAAACCAAACCCATGATCTTGCTTTTATCTTGGCAGTGAAATTGAGGGATTGTCACATACGATGCTGCCAGCATTAATTACAAACGTTAAAACTTGTTAAAACTTGTCTAACTGAATCGTGTACTCTTCTCAAAAATAAGTCAACTTCAGCCATTAGCAAACTGGGATATTATATACAAAAGACTCCAATTCCTTAAGAGAAAAAAAACAAAACACTAAAGTATTGCACGTTGGGGATAATCACCCAGTTTTGAGAGGAAAAGAGAAGGCACAAGCACGTGTGCATGGGGGCACTAAACTAAAGTTGACATCATATGTTCAAGGATGAAATCGCTAACATTTGTTTCCAGTGCAAAGTAAAGGATGGTATTTTCATTTGCCTGAATATTGTTTCAGAATCAAAACAGATTTTTTGCAAGTTGTTTTTCTTACAACTTTATGTTACAACAACAAAACAACCCCATCCGAATGTAGCCCCTGTGCATATGGATTCAGAAGTCTATTTTTCTAATCCAGATTTACTGATTAATGCTAAAAGTCACCAATCCTTGGATTTTATCCACAGAGTTTTTTCTTTCCCTACATGATCCAGGGATGTATTTTTAATGTTTTGACCCAAAAGTTAGATACTTTGATACAGCAAGATCCACTAGTTAATCTTAACATGCAACAGCAACTTTATTAATCTAGAATGTGTGAGATTCAATGCAGGTGAACAGTTATCTGAGATTTGCTGGAGCTTGATAAGAGGCTGTAAGTTAATTACCTCCTTTTGTAGATGGAGTTTGAAGAAACTGTTTGGTTTTGAAGGCAGCACGAGGCAAATTTTTCTGCCTTTGCAGAGCTGTTGAAAGACAAGAAGTGTTATATTTGTCTAAGATAAGAAAACTAAATTTACTGGGAATTTCAGAATGGCATCCACTTGTGAAGCATCAAGGAACAGAGTGAGTAAAACACTCAAAAAGCTGTTATGACTCTAGAAGTGATGCTTTGCTTTTAAATGGTGCTTGCTCTTAATGGCAAAGAGTTACAGAGGAGCGTGTCAGAAATTTTGCAGTGCAAAATGCGCAGATTCTGTAAGAGTAAAGCTTCTTGCAGGGCAAAAAGCCCAGAAAGGCCAAAAAAAAAATAAAAAAAAAATTACACCAAAGGGAGGACAAGCCACCTAGCAAACATGCTACAGCAATATGAGTGCAAGATTAGATTAAAAAAGATGAAAATTAAAGTGTCATTCTTGATCTAGCAAGATTAAACTTTTCATTTTAAAGTAGTTTTCCAAAAACACCTAACACTATACAAAAACAGATCTTGTCATGAACATGATTGTATCAAACAGCTATAGCAAACATAAGCCATTTGGAGAGATATCTGCCATTTTTTTTATCTAATGGTGCACAAGAGAACTCAAACTTGAAGACATAAAACTGAGAATCAGCAGCTGCCAACATGTGGACAATGTGCCAAAATGCTTTCATTGCTGCTACATCCTGTCTTTTTTCTAGTAATGCTCAAGGTCCAATACTGCCTTGAAACATCCTCACTACCTACCAGTTACCAAGAGAGAAGCCAATGTTCCACGAGCCGCGGAATCTTGGCAAAGAGAGAACTATTACTGCCAGAAGGAATGCATCGATTCAGCGTATTTTCACTGCAGCACATTTAAGGAGGGAAAAAGGAAAGTAGTCAATGAAATAGAGCTGTGCCTACACAAAGGCTTGTTAAAATTATAATGTATGAAGAAATCACCTCTGCTCATCTCAGTGTACAGAGGTTTTTTTGCTTGTTTGTTTTGTTTTTTAACTGATTACACTAATAAGGCTTATTTCTGTAGTGGAAGGGAAGAGAGATAGGGGAACAGCTGTGCACGAAGACCCTGACCCTGAGCAAGGAAGCTCAGTACTCCCATCACCAACTGGTGAATAATGCTATAAGGAAGGCGGGAGAAGGAACACATAGAATCCTAGTAATGTTAATTAACTTTCTTTTCTAAACTTGGTAGTTTAAAATAATTGCCACCACCCTCCCTATCCTTCAGTCAGTATTGCAAAATTTGCAATATTTTGTGAGCTATAAAAGAATTTCATTGTGTTTTACTTTCACTTCTGAAAATCTGACTAAGTGGTCTATTCATGTTGATCTTAATAACTAAAACCTGTCGTTTTCAACAAACAGCAAAAAGGAATAAACATGTCTATAAACATGATAAAATGCTGCCCGTAGCTATTAAGAAGAAAAAATCATTCAACTAACTAGAATCTAATGAAACAAAGCAAGAAGCAATAGCCAGCTCTCATTCAACTTCTGGCACTTGGTCTTCTTGTAAACTATTTTTTTTTAAGGCTTACCCATAAGCAGCCAATTAAACGCAGTGAGATGTTTAAAAATGACACTTCTGAGACTTGTTTTTTTAAAGGAATTTAGTAAAGCTGACCACTGGCCAGGGTGTTTCTGTCCACAAGTATTCCATAATACCATTTTTTTTTACTGAATCAGTGTTTTTGTTCACCACACAAAATGAAGAACAGCTTCTTCCTTCAATATTTATGATCTTGAATTTAGTTTCTCCTGAAGTCATTCAACTGGATTTAAATATGGCACTAAGTTCCTTCCCCCGTCATTATTTACACTCCTTGCAAGTCAGAGATGCGGGATGATATGGAAAGAATTTAAAATATATATATATATAAAATTCCTTCCTTCTGAATGGAGACGCCAGGAAAGCCCTCAACAGCTAAACAATTACGAGCACTACACCACCAAAAAGAACTTCAGGCAGGGCAGTTTGAGTAATGCTGCGGAAACATGCAGTTTGAGATAAGCATGGAGTGCATGTTCATCCACACTATTTGCTGCTCTTGAACTGCTCTGTATGCTACTACATTACCTGTCACAAATGGTGCAAGCTGAATATACGTAGTTATGTTTATTTCTGATTAACTGAGCTGGAATACTTGGTTTCCTTAAAGCAATCACTTTCTTCTTTTGTTCTGAATGTGCCAAGCAGCTGGATCTTGGCAGGCAGATCACAATGAGTTTACTAATAATTTGTACAATCTACAGTTTAGCTCTTTGAAAAAGCATTATATTTAACTCTCCTTTAAGATTTCACATCCCTACGTTAATAAGTGCTAGTTAAGTACAGAAGTATCATGAACACACAATCCACAACAGAGCACGTAGCTCCTACATGGAAGCCACCTTTTAAGTTCGATAGCTTTGCACAATCTATGTGGTGTAGTACCTAAATGTGAGACTTCTGCAATCTGTAACACATTAAAGTCTAAAAGATACCTGTTCCTTAGAGAATGCAAACATTAACTTATCTTCCAGTGTTTTAAGATGAAAAATATTTATCAGCTTTCATATTCAAAAATCCTTTCTGCATAACAGCACGGTGAAACAGATGTGAAGGAAGATTCTAATAGTTAAAAACTAGTATGTAATTCACTCAGTCAATCCCTTTTCAAAGAGAATTTGGATTTTTCACTAAATCACAGCTAAAACTCGTAATACCAAATGTTTTCACCTTTTACAATTGTACGTACTATAATATCTTTCCTCTACTCTTTAATCAGACATATACAATTTGCCTATGTAACCATAACAGGAATTGTTATACAGAAACTTACTGGATTCCTAACTCATTTTTGAGTGCCAGCAACCATAGCAAGTTCAGTTTTGCAGCCACAGCAAATGTGCAAGTAAATTATGAACAGCAGATCTTTGACAAAGAGAAAAGTAGTGACCTCAGGTGGCAAGCCAGCATCCTTGCAAAGGTAAGCTCATGCAAAACTAGCAGGTATGAAGAAGCTTTGAATCCCAAGACCCGGAAGTCATTGCCAAGGGAAAACAAAAAATTGCTGCAATATAACAGTGCTTTGTGCAAGGTGACAAAATATAAAACCAATAAAACAAAAAGTATACAATAAAAAGACACAATTCTGTATTTTTTTAATACAATGTACAATTTTGAGGAAATTTTTTTAATCCAGGCTAAGCAAAGATACTTACTCATTGACTTCATACACAAACCGTTTTACGATTGTCAATAGCAAGACTCTGACAAACATCTGTAAGAGCAGGGAAACTGTAAAAGCTAGAAATCTGCGCTTTATTAACGATACTTAACTTACATTGAAGTGTAAGTTGGTCTAGATTGGTTCATATCTGGGGAAAGATTCCCATAAAAAGCAAACCAATTTACCTAATAGTTTCCATGATTCTCAATCCATCCAGCAGTTGGAAAAAAAATATATATGTATAAAACATAAGTCACACACTCCTGCAATGAAGTAACTCAATTAATACTGAATATTGAGACTTCTGCTGTCTGATCTTTCCATAAAGCTTCACTATGAAGATACTTTTAATTTTGGAAATAGCTTTATGACCATCTAAGCTACCCTCTTTGCTTTCCTCTTCCAAGTTTGCTCAATTTTAAAACACCAAATACAACCTGTGCAGATTTGGCTATAGTATCACACACTTGGGACACACAACCCTTACATCCAGTCAGAGACACTGCAAAGATAGAAATCTTGTAGTCTTTGGCAAGATCTGTATTCCTTATTCTGTACTTAACTGTATTTGATTGTATTAGTCCACTGTTTAGAAAGGACTAGTTAAACAGGCCAACTGGTACACCAGTATGCATTTACTGTTCAATAGGTAAAAATAAAATTAGTTTCATTCACAGATAATATCTTACATTACCTGCCAAATATTTAGATTACTGATGAACTTTCATAGTTCAAAGCTCTACAAATAATGATATTCATAAAGTGTTCTTCCTTTGAAAATGTCACACAGTCTTATTCATTTTGAAACTTGTTTTAAAATAAAATGGTCAGGAAACATTTAAACAACAGGAACTGTCAATATTGACATACAAAGAAGCACTGAATATTTAAGTTTCATTTGCTTTGGCTTCTTTAAGGTCACCATTGCTAGGAGCCTTGAGAGATTAGCAGCATTCTCATATTAGCAGTTCAATTTCAGACAAACTAGCAGGCACTAACCCAGCACTGGGCTAATTTGTTTCACAGGTTGCAGGTTCATCCAAACCTTTACTGAGAAACACTGCCACTTGAAAAAAAAATAAAATCTGCATCTGAACACAGAATTGTCAGGTGACAGAACAGAAGAAGAAAAACTGCAAATGAGAGTTAAAATTGCATGAATGATTTCAGATCGGGTTTCACTAATTAAAAATAGCAAAACCCAACCTAGATAAGTGTTTTGGTAGCCTGATACATTTTTGTGGTCTGAAAATAAATTTCAGCAGTATAGGGCATTATACCTTCTGTTAATCACAGAAAATAAATGGTTTCTGAAATGTCTAACACCACTATGTTTACACTCTTTATAGTGCATTTGTATATGCTTTTAGGACAGTACAAATGATACTTTATATCTCTATAATTAGAGACCAAACATCCCTTGAATATACTCAGTACCTGATTTCTTTTATCAAACAAAGAAATTTCCAGACAAATGTGATCAAAATTAAAATTAGCATTGCCAGTGTGGCATGCAGTGTTTCTCTGTGCCATGACACCGGAAAACAGCTCAGTACCACCACTCAATTCTAACATATACACTGCAATGTCACAAAAGTACTTACTGGCTGAGGCTTGAGGTTGAATGCGAGGTATTCCTCCATTTGGCACTTGGAAGTTTGAGTCACTTCTGCTGTTTTTCACAGACTCAGCTTGGATATTAGATGTCCTGGACAGGTTTGGAAGACTACGCCTTAGTTTTTCTGTATGAAACAACACAACGATATCATGATATGTAGTCAAATGCTGGACAAAGTCCAAGCTCTTAACCAATAGCTGAAACCAAAAATCTAAGTGACACAAACAGGTATATAAACTACGGTGCAATTTAAATGCCTATTTTGTTACATTATAGTTCTTTAGATGCGTCATATACAAAACATACAAAACATTTATATAAAAAAAGGAAGAAGGAACAGTTCTCACTTGTGGTGAAAATAAATCAGTCATGGCATGTTCTGAAATCGAAGCATGTCTACATTATAATTCCCTGAGTTTTGTTCTACCATTACAGCAATTCAACAGAGAAACCTAGCTTGCAGTTTGGCATACTTCCCAAAGTCTTCATCCATAAAGTTATAATATACTATGCTTGCCTGAAGATTAAAAACATACCGTAATTTATCACTCAACGTTTGGGACTACCCAGCCTCATAATAGCATATTATACAACAAATAACTGACATGCACTTGGAAAGAAACTGTCAACACACAACATTCAAAATTAAAGAAATATTATGCTTCTTCTTTCACATCTCATTTGACTGTCTGTTCAGCTAGTACTGGTTCTTTAAGGATCTTCTACAATTGGTACCACGTGTCACAGAATACACAAAGATGCCATTAAATTTCTCCCAAGTCTAATGACGTTCTGCTATGTCCAACCCACGCAGAGCTGGGCTGATGACACAGGTCAGGACAGAGGAGTGCAGACTGACAAGGCACGATGGATGGCCAACCTGCTGATGAAGGGGGGATGCAGGGAAGAAGTACTCTAACCATGCACAAGCACTAAAGATGAAAACAAAAGTATGCATCTTCATAGGCTGAATACTCCTACAGATGTACTTCCTTCACTTAGAAATTTGCACTGGTTTGCATTGCAGTTGGTGCATCTTGAACATCTAAACCTCCCTCTAACCAGTCTAGAGCAGAAAAAAAAAATCCCAAACAACTTTTTTAGGCTGCTGGTCTATCCACTCTGAATATCCAAGCAACATCCAACAGCACAAAAAACACTCCAAGAGTTCCTTGGAAGTGTTTCAGAAACACGTGATCACGCTCTATTTTCATCCCTCTGATACGTGGGACGCCAGTTTTTGGTACCTTGCCTCTAATGGAATATTTTTCTTGTAGCTCATCTAGCATGCATTAAGACTTTCACAAAGCCCTAGAAAAGAACAGGAAAGGAATTCTCAACTAAGCTGCAACATAGTTTACTAACTTTTGTGTTGACTGATTTCCTATATACCTAAAATTTTCTCAAGCTACTATTACTAGATGAGATTTCTGTCGGCCCTTCCAAAGATATTCTTAAGCAGCTAATTAAATTTGCAGGATCATCTTCCCCAAAAGCTCTAGCCAAGCACACTTAATTTCCTAATTAAAAATTTACTATTTCTTGTCAGTGGAATTCTGTAAATGGCATAGATCTCTGCTGTATCAGTGGGGAAAAAATAGAAAATAAACTGTTTACAAATACTTTCTACATCATCTCTACATCAGACACTCTACATCCAGCTTACCTTAAAGAGGCATAAATAAGGTGAATTCTTAATATCTAAATTAATATTATTTCTGAATTGAAGACTTTATTTGCCAGATAATCACATTTCTTAAAATGGGAAAATGATTAGATAGATTAAGGTTAGGTATAGTCTAATTGTGTCATGTTTCCTGCAAGTTTTATTTTTCTTACGTGGCAGTTTGCACAGCTTTGAAATATTTAAAATATCTAACAAAGACAGTACTATTTTTAAGACCATGTTTATGCTCAAAATGCTCACAGTCCTACACTGTCAGAAGAAAGCATTCAGCTATCTCACAGGCTAAGGGCATGTATAAATTGCAATGTTACCCTTATCTTTGCAGTTACTCTCTCTGTGTTTTATCCTGTCATGCGCAAGGCCTAAACCTCCTGGTGAATGATCATTTCCCTTGTGTTTTGCTTTATTTTAGTGCATTTTCCTGCCACAGATAGAATTCAGTCACCACAAAGCTTGATTACACTGAGTGACTGGATAACATCTAAAATACATGTAAATACAAGCCTATCAACTCATCTGACTATTAAGAGTTACCCAGCAAAATTTAAGCTTTGCTTGCTATGCTTTTTCTTAAACAACTCTGAGATTAAACCATGGTATTATGCAGGCATATAGTTGACCAAAATCCTTTACAGGAACTACACAACTACTTTAACTAATTGTGTAATGAATTTGAGACAGAACTTATTACCTTCACTTTTGACATTACTAGTCTGCAAATCTGTAGGATGGCCTTGAAGTGAAAGACGAGGTTGCTGTAAACGGCTAATCATAGGCTGGGGCGACACTCTACTGTACTCTATACTTCGAGCAGGCGATCGGGAACGAGGTGAATTCCTTGGAGATTGTTTTGGTGATGGCCATGGAGAGCTACGAGGTGATGGTGAGAACCTGTTAACAGCAGGGTGCACCGCGTGATGCATGCCATCTTCTTCATCTTCTAAACTCTGTGCATCAAGCTCCTGATCACTGAGTGTGCCTCGCCTCGTAGAATTGCAAGAAGAACCAGAACTACGCCGCGAAGCAGTTGCTGCATACTCTTGCCGGAGGCCTGGCAACAATGAGAACATTGTTTACTTTTTGTCTGCCCACAAATGGTTCAGACTAGAGACAGCACATACAGATATCTGCCCAGAGCTCAAACTTATATTCAGCTCATCTTCCCTCTTTTTATTTGAGACACAAAATTGATTCCAGATTAGTATCAAATGAAGTTATCTAATAGCCTATAATCTCTTGAAATAAGTAGGTGAGCTCATCCCCTTTCCTACTACAGCAACCATCAGTATAGTTTACTGTACTACTTGTTCGTCTCCTCTCCCAGGCTGGAAACTCACAACACAGGACACATCTTAATTTTGGTATCAGGTAACATCCTAGAACAACTGCACTGAAAGGCTTCTTGCAATGTGTTAGGAAATGTAACAAAGCAGCTACATGACAAACTCCCCCTAGACAAAACAGAGTTCAGTTAGCCAGTGGCCTCCAAAGTTGTGTGCACACACCTCGGGGGTACAGAAAACAACCCACTGTAGTGAAGGAAAAAAATCATTTTTTGTAACATTAATAAATAAAATAATATTTTTAATTAGTGTTTGCATCATCTTTATCCCATCGTTTTTTAATGTATATTTTTGTCTACATTTTATAATGTACATAATATACGACTGTGCATCTATATAATTTATGAATTAATACATATACATGAGGGGTGCTCAAGAATTTTACTGATAGGGGTGTGCAATAAAAATGTTTGGAGACCACTGAGTTAGACAACCAAAATTACTACCACTTTCTACACTGTCAGAGAGACCAAGACAACAGACAAAGACTCAAGTCAACCTTAAAAAAAAAAAAAAAAAAAAAAGAAAGAATTGTGAAAAATGCTACTGTATATGTCTTGCCATACTGACTTTACATTTCTTCTCAGGAGAGCTACATTTGTACATCCCTAGTAGAGTCTTAACCTCTTTCTCATTCCTGCTAAGTAAGTCCTACTGCAGTTATTCAATTAAAAAAAATAAATAAATCAAATGCCCCACTTGGTTTTCAGGATGGAAAACACTTACTTTCTTCCTGCATTCGTGCTAAAATTTGCACATCTGTTACATCATTTAGCTTGTAATTAGATCCAATAGAGTCCTCATCCATCTCTGATGCACTTAATTCACTGTCCAAAGAGGACTGTGGACTTAGTGGAGGATTCCTATCTGCTGAGCTTTTAAGGTGACCTACAGAAAGAAAATAAGAGTAACAAGAGCTTTTTATTTTCATATAAAAAAAAGCACGTTGCAAATCCTGTTAAAAGAACCGACAACATGGGAACAGATTATGACTAACACATTGAGGCTAACAGGCCGTTTGAAATACTTGACTGCAAATCTAGGCTGAAAATATAATTTACACAAACAAAATGAGTATTTTTATATAAAATCACTGTAACAATGACAGAAGAAATTAACGACATATAATCTGGTCCATCTGTACCAAGTTTTTTAACTGCTGTGGAGTTTGTACAGCTTTTGCAGAAAGAGCAACTGTATAACTGTTTCATTTATGCTTTAAGTCTTGTCTCTGCACACTACAGTGTAAGACATAAGTTTGATTATTTGTATATCTTTCTTGAACAGTAAGGAATTGCTGACCCAATGAATATTGATTGTTTTGAATGCTTAAAATATAGCTTATCCAAAAATACTACTTGTTATAAGCACACACCTTTGCTAAACTGTAACATACAGGAAAAACTCTTTCCCATTTGCTGCCTTCTGACTGACAGCCCATTTCCAGTTACATTTTCTCTCTGTCCTCAAGGCAAACACAGCACAAAATGCAGATCAGAGCTACACAGATTTAAATAAAACTTGGGTAATGACGCTGCTGAGTGTATTGTAGTGCAGGCTTCTCTTTGTAAGTCCACAGCGAACTACGGGTAGTGGCACTGTTAATGTAATGTTTTTTCGTTTTCCCTGCAAACTAATGTGACTTAAAGTAAATATAAGCCAATGTCCTCACTTCACCGTAGAGAGATGTTCCAGGCATCGATTCTTCTACTGCAAAGAAAGAGCCTATAGTGCAGAATAAAGGCAGAAAACATTGCCAGAAGTTACTGTTTAGTGTGATGCCTGCAAAGCTTCAAGGAACAACTTTAACTGAAATACATGCTTCTTTCTTAGATTACATTGTTCACATCTCAGAGGTACTGATGGACACCTGGCATACCAAATATTTCAGTGAATTAGTAACACCGTAATTGCAGAGACTACAACCACAAACATGTAACATTTAAACATGTACTGTGCAACTTGTATCTCTGTCAACTACAGGGGCAATTCTAGAAGCTCCTCAGAAGTGCTGGGACTCCACAGAAGTACCAGCAAGAGTTCTGGTCTACTGCTAATATGTATCCAAACATTTTAAACATATCTCACACCAAAAAGTCTGCAAAAATGCCTTTCCTCAAAGGTTTAAATACTGCATGATGCAAACTTCCTACAGAAAACCGACAGATTTTTGGTGTCTTCCAAAGGTTCCGTGCAAATGTGGTGTATTTGAGTGCTTATTTTTGAAAGGAAGGGGCCTCCCCTCCGCACAGACACACACACACTTACCTGAGGTACCAGGAGGTATGAACTGTTTTACTAAAGCAGATTTCACTGGTGTTGAGGAGGGAGAGTTGAAACCACTGCTGTAGGGGCTACTAGTATTTGGACTATAGGAGCTGGCGTAACTGACCGCACTGAAAGGGCTACTGTACAAATTCTGTCTCTTCAAAGCTGTATAAAAGAGGAAGGAAGTGACAAATTATAAGAAGGGAACCATAAAAAAAAAAGTATAATGCTACATGATATCTTCAGCATGATTTAATTGCTATACAATCCAAGAAGAGCACTTCTGTCATCAGGGAGTTTTTCCAACTGATTTCTGTGTCTCCTAGGTACAACTGTATTGTCTTTTCTTTTTTATTGTCTTTTTCTTTATTATTATTATTGTAATTTATTTGTCTTTTCAAATACTTTCCTAGTAGAAACCAAATCTAGAATTGTTATACCTACTCTCTTCTGTTCAACATGCTCAGCCAAGGGAAGGAAGAGAGAAGTGACTCGAAAGACAGCAGTAGCTAAGCTATCTCAGTGTATAACCTATGCAATTACATGCAAACCAGAACACACCATCAAGTATCAAGGGCTACAAAAAACATCTACTTTGTATTTAGTGATAAAGAGGCATCCCTTGATATAAGAGTATATAAAATACAGCTGCCTTGATTACAGTTTGAATGAGTATTTGATGCAACCCTGTGTACCAGCCTACACTGGAAAATGACAAAAATGATGCTACAAGGACAGCAAGTGCCTACTGAAGAAACAAAGCCCTTAGCTTATAAAAATACCGACAGAGAAAGACTGCTCTTGGCTACTGCATCGCTGCAGCCATCTCGATGAAATCCAAATACGATTTCCACATATAAAGCCAAATAATAAAATGAAACTGCTGAGGCAGTTGCCTTTGATTTTTCCTCTTTTAAAATTTCAATCAACCCCAAACAACCTTGTTCTCATTCTCCCTAGGCTTCATCCCAGCCTCTGTCCAAGAACTGTAGCTTATCTCTGGGAGAGTATTAATATACACAGACAAAACTAAACCAGCCTGCATTCAAAGAGTATCTCCTGCAGTGGTCTTCTAGGGTGAAAAAACAATTAAGTTGTACATAAACTACATGGGAATGCAGTTAGTTCATGTCTAGTTCTCCAGAATTCAGAGACCTGTCCAGACCACACAGTATTTCAACAGCAACCCTAAGACTGGCACCAGAGAACCAGCAATACCACCTATGAACTTCCCCAAAGCACACACCAAAAGAATAAAAAAAAAAAAGAAAAAAAAGTTAAGCCTAGCAAATGCATCTGTATCTCTGGATACCATGAACCTGCTGGGCACTCAGAAGCAGAAAGTGTGGTCAAATGCGTGTTGCAGTAAGATCCGTAAGCGCTGTTTGAATCTACCACTTAAATCACCAGGACAACAGAAGCCACATGGTGGTTATTCTTGTCTACTATTCTTCAGTTTAATGAAGAATGTAACTAAAGGAATCAATCACTTGTTTAGAAAGTATTTCTCAAGTACAGGAGGATTACACAAATCTCTACATTGCCAGGTCTTTACCAGCTTAGACCAAATGGCCACTGCTTCAAACACAACAATCCACACTAATGCTTCTTCTAAGATCCATTTTCTATTCTGGTTGTTTTTTATCGACTATTTAACACTTCAGCCAAATGAAGTACTTAAAAGTGTGCCAAAAAGTTGGCTACCAACATAACATTTGTTTAGGCAGAAGTTATAATCACATTTTCGACAGTTTTGCATCTGGTGTGGTAAACTTCAAAAATCTCTTATCAAAATAGAATACTTAATGGCTCTTTCAAATGGACTGTAGGATTATTCCCTTCTATCCACTTCTAATCCAGTTTCAATGCTTCAGGATTTTTCTATCCATGGACATAAACACTGTATGTAACATAAAAGCCAAAATGGAATACTTCCCTCTACTACTGATCTTAACTATCAGTGCTAAAGTATTTTTTAGATGAATTTTAACCACTTGCAAAAAATTCCACGATATCTCTGCTTTCATACTTGCCCAGTTACAGTGTACTATTTGGGTAGCTACTTAAATGAGGGTTTTGCTCAGAAATTTAGTTTTTATTTTAACATGACAGAAAATGGAACTTCAGTGGGGGAAGTGGGAACCAAAGGAAATTTGGTCAGTTTTGGTAAAGGCAGTTTCTTCAGTGCTGAAAGCAGTTTATGCCAAGCTGATAACTGAATTGTACTTGAACAAAGAAGCAAGTACGTCGCAAAATACTGAACTGAAAGCTAGAGATCAAAACTTTATGATGTATAAATCTAGATTAGATTAAGTTGTAGCTCACCTAGCTGATAGAACCTAAGCTTCAAGACATAAGAATTTTGAAACTATGCATATATACTATAAAATGACAAGAGGCTTTGCAGATGCGTGGCAATACCCTCAGGCAGGTTCTAGGGGAAAAAAAGCAGAAACTAAGCCCTTGCAAAGAAAAGTGTGACATTTCTGTAACTGAAAAAGGGTAGTGAACTAATGCAGTAACAGCTAGGCTACTGAGAGTAGCATATTTAAAAAAAAAATGTATTCCATTCTGCTATGTCAGACAACTTGACATTTATTTATTAAAAATTTTTATTTGGTGTAAGACCTTTATTTATTTGGACATTATAAAAAGCCAAATAGACTACAGTTGCATGAAACACTGCCTTCAGCAGCAAAGCCTGCTTCAGCTCCTCCTCCTGCCCCAGTCTTTGCGTGGTCACCACCTCCTCAGCTGTTCCATACAAGCCATGGGTAGCAGAACGCAGCACAAGCAGAAAGAGCAGAAATTGAAGTTGATTTTACAGCAGATTCCTTAAGCTGCACCTTCTGTAAAGAGCCTCTCTGGTGTCTAAATCAGTAAATATTAGTATTATTTTAGAGTGCACAAAGACAGATGGAAGTTTTATATTCCACTTCTTAGATCTTTTCACTCTAAGTCTTATAGGATACGTGCTAATTTCATCAATTAGGGAATCCAATGAATTTTAGCCAGCATTCTTAAGGTACCTCCAGTTTATTTTGAGAATATCAGAAGGGAAACCTGGTTTTATTACAAAGCTCAATTAACAGAGCAGGTAATTACAAGCAGGCTGTATTCTGTTTGACTCTGATGAGAACTCACAGAATCACAGAATTTCTAGGTTGGAAGAGACCTCAAGATCGAGTCCAACCTCTAACCTAACACTAACAGTCCCCACTAAACCATATCCCTAAGCTCTACATCTAAACGTCTTTTGAAGACTTCCAGGGATGGTGACTCCACCACCTCCCTGGGCAGCCTGTTCCAGTGCCTAACAACCCTTTCAGTAAAGAAATTCTTCCTAACATCTAACCTAAAACTCCCCTGGCGCAACTTTAGCCCATTCCCCCTCGTCCTGTCACCAGGCACGTGGGAGAACAGGCCAACCCCCACCTCACTACAGCCTCCTTTGAGGTATCTGTAGAGAGCGATAAGGTCGCCCCTGAGCCTCCTCTTCTCCAGGCTGAACAAGCCCGGCTCCCTCAGCCGCTCCTCGTAGGACTTGTTCTCCAGGCCCCTCACCAGCTTCGTCGCCCTTCTTTGGACCCGCTCAAGCACCTCGATGTCCTTCTTATAGCGAGGGGCCCAAAACTGAACACAGTACTCGAGGTGCGGCCTCACCAGAGCCGAGTACAGGGGGACGATCACCTCCCTAGCCCTGCTGGTCACACTGTTTCTGATACAAGCCAGGATGCCGTTGGCCTTCTTGGCCACCTGAGCACGCTGCTGGCTCATATTCAGCTGACTGTCCACAATCACTCCCAGGTCCTTCTCTGCCTGGCAACTCCTTTGACAGCAAGTGCTTTTAGCATTCATGTAGGAACCCCAAAGTACCTATTCCAATTGAATCTTTGTTCTCACAGCATAAAGAATAATTTTTCATCTCTTGTTGAAAAAGTTGGTTAAAAAACCCTAAAATATAAATATGAATAGTTCTTTATTTTGTATTTACTCAGCAGACAAGTATTTCAAAATATTAAACAAATTTGGAAACAATTGTAGTACTGCATAACCTTTAAAACAGGTTCTTTATACATATTTACAATGACACAAAATATTTATCACATGCAGATTTCTGATGAAAGAAAGCATTCTTCCATTACATATAGAAAAGTACTCCCTGGTACACGATGAAATTTTTGTGGTACAGCATTTTTCATCCTAGGCAAGTATGAACTACCTCCCTCAGCACTGTGTTTTTCCCCAGGAATAAAAGCTCTATCCAAACTATTTTTCTGGTACAGAATTCTAACATGGATTTCTCTAATTTAGGAAGGCTTTACAGCTCAAAATATGGTCTTTCTCAGGATCGTCAGACATTAGTAAGATCAATTTTAACGTGAAAGTGATTTTATATTAAATGAAATATTACATTAGAAAATATTACACATTAGCTTTCAAAACACCAGAAGACAGGGTTAACGATCAGCATTTTTACATTAATGTATATTTTCTTTCGTAACATTCACAAACAGCACACAGCACCTAGTTTGTTTTAGTCAACAGCTGGTTGAACTGGTCTTGAATCTCTTTATTGCTCTGAAATAGAGGAATAGAAAAATTTGTGTGCAGAAAACTGATGCCTAGGTAGTTCAGAAGACCTACTTTATGAATCAAGACCAACTTCTCCAAATGATAGAGATCTGAAACTTGTTTGTTATGATTAAGTGACAAATTTATTCTAGTAGTCACTGTGGTAATTCAAAACAATCATTAGGGAATTCCATCACTGAGACCAAGGTTAGGTAAATAATCGTTGGTTTTGAACAAGCTCAGTGCTTAACTAAAAAAAATAAATATCATACTCACTCAGCACAGAAAACATTTACGTTTTTATACACAGCCACTACAGTCCATAGTGATCATGCATTTGATTTCAAATACTTAAATAAATTACTTCTGCCTCAGTAAAAATTGCAACATGGCCAAAGTTACTCTTTTCTAGTTTTATACAACTGTGTCTCGTGGCATCTCTTCCAAAAGTTCTTCCTCCTGGGTATAGTATTTCTGTGCTCCTGCAGTTGCTTTTTTCATGTGCTTTACTTGTAAAACCCAACACCATTTTAGATCACCATGTGGTGGAAATGCTGGTTTCCAGCCAACGTGAAACGCCCTCCTGCACTTTTGACCAGGGACTTGAGGCATAGCTACGAGAAGTCTTTGCACCAGAATATGCCTTAAGGTTCACTCTAGTCTGGACACTCTTCCAGCACTAGTCAGGACTCTATGCAACTGTAAACTTGAACTCAGAAGCAAAAAGGCGTTGTGCATCCTGAGTTCTCAGTAACTGTTTGCTCACAGGAGCACGGAGCTGAAAGCCCCTGTTCCCTTCTTTATCACCACAAAATGGAAAAAGATTATTTATAAGAAGAAAGAAGAAAAGTACGAATACAAGAGCACATTTGAGACCGAGAAACAGCAAAAAAAAGATTACATTAGAAAGATATAATAGGAGCTGACAAAGCTAAAATCATCAAGGCAAAAGAAACATCTACAAGGATTCAGGAGAGAAAGTAACAGCAGTATGAAAAGCCTTACCAATGGAAACTGGATCTGAAATTTCTTAACCTGTTACTAGCTACTGTTTCAGTTAAGTGACAGGGGTCCACAGGGGCAAATGTGATGTAAAAGAGAAAACCCAGAATAATCTGGTGTAGAATCACACTTACAAGAGGCACTACTTGTCTTTTCCAGTGGAGCTTCCTGCTACCCTACTACTGCAAGTAGTCTGGTTGTTCTGAAGAACAATTTCATTTTCTGTTTCACTTTTCCAATGCAAACTTCTCCAACTAGCAGTATTACAGCCCCTCTCTTCTACCAGTAATGTTTTCTCCCCTGATTAGTACTATCGGCCATCTGATGTATTCTTGCAAGTGTCCCTGCCAGAAGCAGATTTTCAGTGCTATGGAAAAAAAAAGAGATGAAGTTGCCTAGACTCAATTTGAATGATCAAACCTAAGTTTGTGCATTTCATATGGAACTTTTAAAGATATTCTAGGGGTTACAGAATTTGTGGTTACTTCGGGAATATTTCTACTCAGCTCTGAAAAAAGGACAAAATTATTCATGCTTATCCTATCTACTATACAGTCCTAAGTACTTAGTTAAGTCATACCACAATTTCTTCAGGCTCCCAAATTTGCATCATTTTTCATAAATCTCTGTGACCTGGCACTTTTCATTGTTCAGAATTTCAGTCTATACCTGTAGAAAGCCTGGTAACTGTTCAGGAAAACTTTTAATGGACATTTGCCAAGGCTGCTTACACAAAGCACAAGAAATAGGGAAAGAAAAAAGGTGACTCATACTGAAGGCACTTTCACCATTTTACTCAATAGTTTTATAAAAATGAGAACTGGATTTGTCATGTTATCTACCAGCAATGCTTTCAAGTTTCATTAAGAACAATCTTAATACAAATCAGAATTAAGACTGAATTGCACCAGAGAAGAATCCAAAGAGGGGAGAAAAGTTACAGTCAAACTCAGCAAAGTTTATGTATATGAAGAGTGGTTGGGAACACTTGTGGAACTAAACTTTCAAATATTCTTAGCTCAAGTCCAATCATTCTGTTAATTCCTGCAGATAACAATTATAAAAAAGTCACATAGCACCAAAAAAAGATGGATATGTGGGGCAAGAATAGATATTCATAGTAAGAGAGAAAGGATTATCTCAGCATAACTTTTTTTCTTTTCTCCAGTAAAAATAGGCTCAAACAAAAGCTAAAATAAAGTAATTTTTGGAAAAGACCGAGAGGTTAAAACAAATGTAGAACATTCACTGGGGAAAGCATTGCTGGTAAGTTATCAAGAAAATGAATAAAGAAATCAGATGAACAGAAAATCCTCCAGCATTTTGCTGCTATTTGACATTAGAAAGGCTGAGAATGAAAGGATGAAGACTGTAGGCTTTCTTCCTCAAGGGCCAGGCAATCAGTCCTTCCCCAGACTCTTATCAACTATGTTGTGTCAGTAAAGAACCAAACTCTGTGGAGTTCTTAATCTAATGGTGACATCATCTTAAATTACTTGGGATGGGAAGAAAATGAATCAGTATTACCTCCCCCAAAGTATTCAAGAAATTAAGCCTTAATTTTCTTAGATGGAATAATGTAGCTCATCTAGCAAGAAACTGATCTCTGTGGTAACATAGTGACATCACCCAACAATTATGCTAGTTTAATACAGCCTTCTACTTTAAAGTAAGATCTCTAAGGTAAGGACATTGGCCAAAAGTTTTCAGAAAGAAACACACTTCTACTACGCAGGTGACATAACTCTGAAATCCTGATTCCTGGCTAATGCTTCCTTTTAATCAGTACAGAAAATTAGGAGAATGAATTACTGTTTGCAGACCACGACAACTTTAGACAGAATTAACTGCTGCATCTCATCCTCTTCCCTCACAGCTACTATTGGCTAATTCTGATCCCTCTAATCTCTCTTCAGAACAAATATGCACAACCCAGTGGCATTAGTATGAAGGAACTCACCTGACATCGTCTGTTCCAGCCTGTGGATCAGTGACTTTTTAGCACTTTCAATGTCAGGACTTGGGTAATCCAACACTTGCCTGCACCAAACTAATGGACTAACAGATTTTTGCACTGGAGTCAGTCTCTTCTTTGGGGACGTATATAGCCTGAAAAGAAGAAAAAGTTATGAAGACAAAATGGGCATAAAAAAGGCATGTAAGAAAATACCGCATAGTATGCTATTTCTATTCTTGTACTACCTACGGTACAATCCCAAAATACAATGAAAGCACAAGCTTTAGTTTTAAATTAACGATTTTGGATACAAGGTAATACTGAAAACACATGGCTATCCGAAGACTTCTATCAAGAGCTGATGCCTACATTGCTACTCTGTGATAAGCTGATTGATATGCCAGAAACTAACATCTTTTCAAACACAGGTATATGGACAATTTCACTGTCACATAAATGCACAGCTGAGGACTGATCTTATTGATTTAAGTAACGTTCACCTTAAAGAAGGAAATAAAGCACTACCCAATATGCAACCATCGTTTTCCTAAATGCAAAGATGTTGGCAAGTGATAAGCACCTTAATAGCCAAGCAACAGCACTGAAGTACACAGAATACAATCTCATATTTCAGTATCCTTGAATGATATGCATTTTCTTTCTACTTATAACTTGTACCCTAGCACCTGATCCTTTAATTTTCATTTGAACACAGAACAAAGAGACTATCTTTGTCCTAAGGGGTGGACAGTCAAGCATTAAAAACAAGGGACAACAGATAATGCATGTAGGAGAGTAAAGGGAAACAATGAGACCATATTGTTCTGGAGGATATGCTGAGGCCTTTGCCCATCAGCAGCCCCATTCATCTATTTTAACTTCAGCATTCCGCGATGGAAGGAATAAATATTCCATTTGGAAGGCTCTAAAAATGTAGCTGAGAACTCACCCTCCCTCAACAAACAGTTTAAAGGCAAAGTCAAATCCAATCAGACACTCACAAGGGGGATATTTAAGCCTTATCTTTGGAACAAAAGCAAACTTGGGTATTTGCTTCAGCAACAGACAACAGTGACCTGCACGACCTGCAGCTCTACCTGGAGCTTTTGCATGTGCAGAAATGGTTAAACGACTGTTTCTTCTAGGAATATCCAATGACAGACTTCATGTCCCAGGTGAATATAGTTGTAGGCTTCACACTGTGGCTTAGGAGCATTTGACAGCCCAGGCAGCATGCTTCTACACGAAACTGCAGAACTGCCTGTTCCCTTGATGTAAACAACATCAGCAACACCTAAGTTATTCTCCCCTGGTCTATTAAGAGATTATTAACTGATCCTTCTTCTGTAGTTCTTGGTTTGTTTTTATAAACAGCTTAGAAGAATTTTATTTTTAATTCCTGCTATTAAGGTTACTTCTTACAAAAGCTTCCCAAAAAGCATATTTAAATATCACCAAGGACACCTTACCCAAAACACTGCTCACTTTGTCCAGAGCATACTCTAATACATTCTTCCCCCAAACACCAAAACTAAAAGGCTACACCTGCAAATGCAGGACAGAGGATTATGACTACTGGTCAGATTTTCACACAAAACCAAAGCAGCTTGTAACAATGCAAACAAAAAACAAATACAGCTTAATGCCCTGCATGACACTGGGTGGAAGGTACCACTGATTTTGTAGGGATCCTTGTAAGCACTCTGCCCCCAAGAAAAGCTAAGAGCCCAGCACATATTTATATCATCAAATATCCCTGGAAAGGACAGGAACTTCTTGGTTTTTGCAGTTCAATGGCAACAATTACACAACTTGCCGTACTTCATGCAGTTATCTACACGGAGTTAAAGACAATGTTTAACACTTACTAGCTCTCTAACACTTTGAATGTACTTTCACTGTCTTTCCTGCACTCTTGTCTGTCCTAAGGTAGGGTTACACAGTACTGAGAAGCGTCAAAGGCAACAACGCCAACTCTTGTGCTGTGCGGAGAGGGCTCCCAGCTCCCAGGATCACTGGCATGCCGAGCTGTGTTTGAGAAGTTCCATGCACATTTGAAGTGTTTACAGTAACACCCTGTGCAACAGGCAAGAAATTAAAATACATATCCCCTTTTTAAAGATGCACACCATGGGTATCTTGAATCTATAAGACTGATCAAAATGGCACCTGATATTTTAAGCTCCACCGCATTATTTTCTGCAATTTGCAGCTGTTGCATTTGTTTCACAAGCAGTTTATCTACTGAAACAATTCAGGCTCACACAGCTCCTACTTTCCCACTCCCCTTCAGACCACACACATACTGCGGACTCTCCCACCTCCTTCCAGCCAGTCGCTTTGCCTCTGAACGTTTTTGTTTCACCCTACATATCAAGAAAGGCAGAACTTCAAAATATTTCATGCTACTCCACTACCTCATGATAAGCACATGTGCATCAATGCAGTAACACAATGACTCTTTCAAGACAGCTTCTTTTACATTGTGCAATTATTGATTCTCATTATTATGAAGTAGTGATTCTCTATTCTGCATCTGAGAAAGAACAGACTAATCTTAAGTTTTTAAACTGACACAAGTTCTATTCACTTTGCCTAATTTTAATCAAGAAAATTAAGATCAAGGGCAAGGCGAAGGCCTGGAGTCACGCTTCTACTTCTCTATGCCCAATAGCAGAAAGGAAAAAAGAACAGAAAGGATACTACAGAATTAAAATAAGCATGTAGAAGTGACCTCAAAGCTAAGTGATCATCTTTGTGAAACCACCGTTTGACTCAAAGGCTGCAGGCCCTCTCCAGCTGAAGAGCTTCCCAGAAAAGACTCGCTCCCGTTTGTACCTGTTCATGCATTCAACAGCACCGTAACTGCTGATCGGCAGCACGCAACTCTAAGGCTGAAGATCCCCACTGGCTTCATACATCTTTAAACACCACTAAATCACTTTCTAAAAACAGGAAATGGAAAGCCATTGAGGAAGCTGACAGCTGATGGTTACCACCCACACTTCAAATGTTAGCACACCAGAAAAATTGCACTGTGATTGATCTACAAGAGAGTAGGGACACAACCAGAGTTTAGCGCCACAAGATGAAGTAAAAGAAAGCAGTACAGAGAGAAGCTCAGGGGCTTTCACCTGATTTGAAAGGGTGTTAAGAAGCCCAGGCACTATGACTCTGCTGAACACGATACCATTTCCTTCCTTCAGCTGTCACACTAGGCACTGTGTCACAGCTGCACCAATCTGAAATTTAAAGCAGTCAGGGGCTCTACGGATTAGTCCTAGGAAGACACAGCACAAAAAGGGAAAAGCTTTTGCAGAAAGACAGCTTTCACTACACGCTCATATGATAATGCCAGCATGGCAAGCCACAGCACGCTGCACTGGGACACAGCTGAGCTGGAAGAAGCTCTGAAGAAAGAGGACAGGACACCGAGAGAGGAACAGAATAGTTCCATAATCATTACCTCACCTGAGGAGCACCTCCCATCGCACTGCGTTACAATACAAGTAGTTGGTTGCCACAGGCATGAAGTCAGAAGCCAAGCTTCTAACCAGGAAGAAAGGAGTCTTTCTGAACCAAAACCCTTCTGCTGCTCGAGTGCAGGAGAAAAACACGCAGATGAGTATGAAATCGCAGATCAGATTAGATGGAAGATGGCAAGCTGGAGGACCTGGAGTTAAAGCTTGTTTATTTTAGTCACATTAGCTTTAAGCAAAAACAGTCACATACGATAGAGACAAGGAAACATCAGGGGACAAAACACATCACAGACAAAAGTGGGATGAAGAAAGCAACCTGAAGAGAAGACGCAAGGGAAAAATAGATATTTAAAGGACAGATCAGCAAAACACTCCCCTAGAAGAGAGGGGAAAAAAACATGAGGCAAAGCTACTAGAAGTAAATAAAGCAACAGATGGGAATATAGGACAGCCTTAGAAATACAGTTTTAGACACAACAATATTGACCTAAACTTTTAGATGAATCTGAAATCCTTGGAGATACTATTTGGAGCACTTTGAGATAAATTTTAAGGTGAATTTTGAATAAACAGCTACAGGTAAAAAACTGAAGAGACTCTCTAGTTATTAAAAAAACTAATTAGCATCGCTGAACATACTTGGCCCACAGACTTCCTTTTGCCTCCTCCGGCACCCCGGTCAAGTACTGGATGTCTCTCAAAAACAAGGAGATGAATACTACAAAAAAGCTTTGACAGCCTTGATACCAGTAGAGAGTTAAAGAATCTGGACTTGCTAATTGGACAAGTCTAATTAAATCCTCCTATTATAATTGCACTTCTAACTACATGGTATTATTTTCAAGTAGAAGTGGAAAGTTTCAGGGCTCGCAAAGTGCACCTGGGAGCAAAACTACCACAACAATTAAAGACCGGTTAGTTGCTGGAAATTATAGCCCTTGCTCATTTCCTCATCTCAAAGGAATACGTTACTGTCTGAGAGAGATACTCTGAAGGACAAGAGGCCTTCAGAAGCTTGGAAGAGTCCTGTAACACCATGATGTAGCTTTCCTGGAACAGGTCACACAAACTCTGTACAGGCTTTGGGAAGCTTTTCACAAGGCTTTGTTAGAGCACGCATACTCTAATATGGTATTGTTACTTACAGAGAAAGAAGTTGAGGAGTTTTCTGTCCTGTTAAACATGTTCCAAAATAAGCCTGTTTAATTACTAGGCTCAAGAGCTCTACCAACACCTATGAGAAGGCAGAAATGTGGACCATGCCCAAACAAAACATGATTAAGAGCTACATTTTAGCAATATCTTTAAGACAATAAAGGAAATCTGTACCAAAGCTTTCATGATATCCAAATATCAACTGTATTTAAAAGCCATAAATATCACACAGTCAGAAATGTAAACAAATTCTTCCCTTGGGATTCTTTTAGCAGTCCCCAAACATCTATTTCACAACGAAATGGTTATCTCAAGGACATTACTCTTTGATGTTACTGGTTGTTACATTTAATTAGCAGATAATTTCTGTAATCCTTACTCATCTCACATGCTCCTTGTCACGTTGGCTTCCCAGTTTGAGGAGCCTTGATCTGAATTTGGTTAAGAAACACCACAGACTTCAAATCAGGTTCATACTTAGTATGCCAGGAAATGAAAAGCATCGCTTGCTTTTTTACTTAAATCACCAGGCTGGAATTGATCCGAACCCGTTCAGTTTCCAAGAGGCCCAAGCCACATTAACACAATGCAATTTGAGCAGCCCAACAGGAAATTCTGCAATGCAATTCCAGCAGCGGGATGTCACCCAGGTGCAGCTCTAGCCTAAAACACCCAACATTTTGCTAGTTTACCATGGCAAACTTTGGAGTCCCAAAACATAAAGTCAGTGCTCACCAAACATGAAGCAGGGAGATGAAAGACGATCGCTACGAATCATTACAGATGAGAATCGTATTTTTATCCTCTCTCAAAACAGCAACATAGCCAGCTAATTGGAATGATGACTAGAACAGAAGTGTAAACTATTAAAAATAGGTATCACTTTTACAGAAATAGCTGCTGGATGACAGTGCATGGAGTAGTAAGAGCACTTGCTTTCCATTTCAAACAGGCTACCCAACCAATCTGAGGACTTCAAAAACACTGAAAATATTAATTTGAAATATTAATGTGAACAAATCCCAGTAATTTAATTTTAAACATCCAGCCTTCAGCCTAGAAATGAAGTCAGGCAGCCATCAGCTACTCCTGCCCCACCAGGGAGGCTTTGGACTGAAGTGACATGAAGACACGGGTCAGCACAGGCTGGCTTTTATAGCAGCATCATTTAAAGAGGATGCAACTGCTCCAAACTTTGCTGGGCAGCGTGTGTAAAGCAGATACACAGCCAGCTCTATACTCTGCTATGCACATGCTGCATGCAAGTTTGGGGAAAAAAAAAATCACTGTATAATCACCATATGTTTTGCTCTCTCTTTTTGAAGAAAGTTTCTCTGGAAGGGACTGTGCAACAAGTTACCGCAAAGCCAGTTACAGCGTGGATCCACGGTACGTTACCTATGCTACGGTAATTGTCCACGTGTGCACGCTTATCCTGCAATAAACTGGAGACAGCTTTCTTTTAAGAAGCAGCACAGCAGGCCACCCTGCGTACTGTTACCGAGTCATCTCCAGCTCGCTACATGCTCACGCCCAGCCTTGTCATGCCAGCACGTCAGGCAGGCAGCAGCACACTGCCTCCTGCCTCTCTGAGACTTCTCTTCTCTGGTCCCCCTTCCTGCCCTCCTGTCTTTTTAATCGGTTTACAGAAAGACCTGATCACGCTGAAATCTGAAAAAAAAATAAATCAATCCTGACTGGCTTGGGAACAGCTAAACAGGCACACTTATAAAAATGCATTGCCAAAATTAGTGTTAACTTCTTGATAAAGCCATTAGTAAGCCTAAAACAAACTCTCAGCGGGACTAGGTGAAGTTCAGTACACTGGGCACGTGTGCACAGGGCTATTTGCAACATCAGGACCATATTAGGAATAAAGTCTGAGCCCCTTAACTAGGATCCAGAAGCACTGATCTAGTGTGAGCGTTAAATGTAAAATAATACAGCTTGAGCAGTGAAGAAAAGTTTTTCTTCTGGCACAACGAGGCTGCAGACCACTTCACAGACTGAAAAAATGCCTGCGTTACACAAAGCCGAGAATCAGCACTCTTCTTCATCTATTATCTCCCACAGCAACATCCTTCTGAAACCAGCAGCCAAGACAAATCCAGGCTTCTCTATGCAGACGAATCAACAGATGAATCAACTTTTAATGCTCAAGCTGCGATTTAAATTTAGTTTGTTTCCATCTGAGGTTTCCTCAATTGGTAAGTGGATTGTACCTCTACAGAGGTATAATCCTACAGTTCAAATGGGATTTGGGGATAAGCAGGAGTGATCCAAATCCATTTGAACCATGAAGAGTTCACACAAGGATTAATTTTAACTGAATACATTCACTCTTTTCACAGTTGATTCAACTACTTGTTGAGTGACCTTGCGTAAGCAAGGCCTTAAGAGTATGATCTTTACTAAAGTTTCAAAGAAACCCACTTACATCATCCCTCCTATTTGCAGAGTTGTGTCTTTTTGGCTGATCCACCTGTGCTCTGAAAATTTCCAGCTTCATTTAGAGCGTTTATCTCTGTTTACCAAATGCACAAAAATCTGGTATGGGTATTTTATTTAAATTGGTGTCCCCACCTATAGCAGGGGAGATTGGAACTAAATCTTTGAGGTCCCTTCCAACCCAAGCCATTCTATAACTCTGTGAAGATAAAGACATCCTACCTTCATAAGAAAATGAGGTCTTAAGACTACTTAGTGCCTGAACTGTTGAATTAAATAGTCTTCAGAAATTGCAGGAGTTTGATTTCCACTTAAAAAAATAATTTGGAAAAAAAAATTCACCTGTCAACGTTTCAATCTAGCCAAACCACATCTATCATTAAGTGCATAGTAAATTACAGCATGAAAGGACAAAGGTTTTTTTTAATTACATATTGATATTTCTTGACATGTGCTACAACAGGTAAATGTTTTTAAAACTACTCGTTTTAAGTTCTTTTATCTCTCAGTCACTGTCCTACATCTGAGACTGAAGTTTAGTGTTATAGTCACTGTAATATTAGGAAAGGAGCGAAGACTTGCAGCAAGCTGCACTTCAGTTCTGTTGTCTTTTGAGGACTGGAATTTGCATAGAAACACAACTGAAGCCACAATAACAGGCAGCCTAAGTGCCAAACACCTGACAGCAGCAAGCTGAGTGAACTCTGCCGCCTGCCCACGAGCGTCCAGAGCTGCGTAAACAAAGCCACGCTGCAATTTATGTCATCACTGTCACCGTATGCTCTTGTGACTGTAACTTTCACTGAAGAGATGTGTTATGGTTCCCACGATTTAGGATTAATATAAAAAACATTAACAGCTATTGTCACTAGAAAACATGACACTCACAAATTTTGCCATCCGGCTCCAAACTTACTGTACAAATTCAGAATATTTTATTTCCCTAACGTGCTATAAACCAGTAGATTACAAGGCATGAATTGGGAAATAAGAGTAGCTATTCTGCACGGACTCGTCATCTGGAAGATGATGCCTTGTTTTATTTTAGTAGGCTTGTGTTGGATCAGAATAAATTTATGCTCTCATACTTCTCTAGTGGATCAGGCTGGATGTTAGGATAACAACTTAATAACTTATCTGAGGAAATATACACACTGTAATCTCCCTGAGCAACTGAAACACTGCCCACGCATGAAATCATTTAAGTGTTTTTAATAAGCATTAATTACTCTGAAAAGATTTTTTATTTTAACAAAAATCTGTTTCTCAGGATGTTAGATTCTAGAAAAAGACCTTTGCAGCTGAACTTCATAACCGTCTCTGAGCCAAGCCGGACTGCTTTGGTTACTCTTTTCCTTGCAGTACACATTTGCCCTGCATTTCCCTGTTGACACCGTGCTCCTCCCCACTGCTTCTCCCAGAGCTCTTATGTTGCTCCTCAACTGGTGTCACGGGAAACTTCAGAAAGACAGCTGGAGAACAGCATGACGCTGAGAGAAAGGAAACCTCCTTCATTCACTCATCAAAGTGTCACAAGGACAAGGTGAGCAAACACCCGCTGGTGTTCCTGCTGGAGCAGCAGGGTAAGCAGTGCATTAAAAAAAGAAAGAGGGATTGCCTAAAGTAAACTGTGGTGTTATGAAGCTAGCAATAAAGGAAACCATCTCAGAAACATGCTGGCTTGCATGAAGGAGTGCGACATTTGCTGCCTTTATAGCGAGACGAAATCCCGGCTTCCAACCTACCTGATGCGTTGCAGGAAGTAGCACAGCAGCACCCTGCCTCACCCTGTGCTACCCCAAAACCCTTCCACAGCCCCCTCAGCACCCCCACACCCTCCCCACCACCTCCCACCGCCCCTGTGGCCCGCAGAAGCTGCGGGGGCCTCACACAAAAGCTGCGGGGCCTCGGGGAAGAGGAAGAGGAGGAGGAGGAGCAGGGGGAGCGCCATGCGCAGCCCCCGAGCCCTTCTCCCGGCACGGAGCCCCCCGGCTTTCTCCCCCCGCCTCCTCACCAGCCGGTCTCGTCCTCCTCGCAGCCGGCCAGGCGCTCCAGCTCGTCGGGCCGCAGCAGCGCCGCGTCGTCCAGCAGGCCGTCGCCTTCCCCGCCGGGCTCCTCGGGGGGCGGCCGCCGCCCCGCGGCCCTGGACACGGAGCCGGAGCCGGGGCCGGGGCTGAGGCAGCGGCCGTCGGCCGGCGGGAGAGCAGGCGGCGGCGGCGGCGAGGAGCAAGGGGGAGCCCGGCGAGGCCCCGCTGCCGGCCGGGGGCCGCTTGGGGCTGGCGGGGCCGGCGGGCAGGGCGGCGTGGCGGCTGCGGAGCTGCTCGTTCTGCTTCTCCAGCTTCTTCACCAGCTCCTGCAGCTTCCGCACCTCCGCGTCCGCGTTCACGCCCGGCACCGCGTCCTCCATGGCGGCTGGGGGGGGGATGGGGGGCTCCTCCGCCCCGTCTACATGGCCGGGCGGCCCGCGGCTGAGGGAGGGGAGGAGGGCGGCGGCGGGGCGGGGCGGGGCGGGCGCTGCCGCTGCCACCTCCTCCTCCTCCTCCTCCTCCTCCTCCTCCTCCTCCTCCTCCTTCTTCTTCTTCTTCCTCCTCCTTCTCCTCAGCGGCGCCGGCGGGCGGCGGCGGAGAGGGCGGAGGGCGCGCGTCCGGCCGCCGCCGCCGCCATCTTGTCGCCTCCCTCCGCGCCGCCTGACGTCAGGGCGCGGAGGCGGGCAGCGCCTCAGTTGGGGTGCGGCGGTTGGGGCGGGAGGTTGGGGATGTGCTGCTCGCTGCCAGGGGGGCCTCGCCCTAGTGCACCGAAAAATTGGGGATGTGGGCTGCGAGGCGTAAACGCAGCGGGATGATGTGTGGAGAGTAGGATGGGGTCGCTTTGCTGCCCTATGCAGCGCTCCCCACTTACTAATTCTCGCCTCTTTCTGCACACCCTTGTGTGAGAGTTGTGCTGAGGTGGTTATCTGCCGTCACAGTCAGACTCTTCCAGAATCCAGCCCTTTAATTCATAAATAGTATTTATGTCATTATTTCACCTGAACAAGTATCACGGGGTGTTTATCTGCTTCAAAGTACTTATTGGCTGGGGTATTTTAATAAAGCAGTTCCTAAAGTTAGTAAAGCAGTTTATAAAGTTATTATCAGGGAAATCAGCTTTCATTATTTGCTGGCAAAGCAAACTTATCAGAAGAAAACTACTACAGGTCTGCACAATTGTCACAAGTATAAAAGCATTAAAACAATTTTGGCCCATGAAATGTGTAAGTCCCAAGGCCTTTGGGACTCTGCTAGGTATCACTCTGCTCATCGATACTACGTTAATAACCATTAATAACTCTCCAATTGGGGATTGCTCTATAAACAAATTTGTAAATCCAGTTCGTTCTCTGTATCACTTGGTACCAAGTGCCTTAATGAAATCCAGCTATGTTCTCTCAGCACAGTTAATTTTATTAACAGAACTTTCAGTCCTCCAAAAGGCAAGAAAAACAGTACGATTTTTAATATTAAGGACATTTGGTGACCCTGTGACACTTCTGGTGACACTGCTGACAGTTCAATGGTTGGTGTGTGTAAAAGCAGTCTTAACTTATATCAAGAAGTTTATTTTAACTCAGAGTGTTTATACGATGATCGTACAGTGTAGCTTCGTCATTCTTTAACTGTCCTCAGATCAGATATTGGCCACCTGCATTAATCATGCTTTTATAAAAGCAGTAGGAGGGGTTGGTCCTCTCTGTCCTGCAGCTCCTGGGATCAGGATGAGGCTGGTGGTTGGGGACTGGAGGGGAACAAAGTGAGTGAGGCCTGAAGAAGGGCTGTGCTGGAGGAATGAGGCAGACAGCGTGGAGAAGAACCAGGACCAGAGAGAGCCCTGGGCTCCTGGGGGTGCTGAGTCAAACTGCAGCTGTTTGTTGTGATTGTGTCATCACAGGGCATCAGTCATCACAATGGGATGTAATGCCACAGCTCTGGGAGCCCTCTGGGGGCTGCCGGCATCCTGCCTGTCCTCTCCTTCAGTCTTCCTCCTGTCTTTCCCCAGTCCCTTTCGTGGTCTGTCTGTCCCCATGGTTCCCTACCCCAAGTTTCTGTCCCCTGCTGACATCATTGCTTTGCTGCCAGCAGCACTCGTAGTTATTTCTCCTGACAAGATACGCACTGCAAAGATGTGTAGGCAGTGGGGAGGAAAGTGAGAAAAAAAAAAAAAGTTTGAATACTGCTGAATCATCTGCTATTTTTCCAAAGCATAAAGGCAACTGAGATGAACAAAGGGAGTCACTGGTTAATAGGCAATGTAGTCTGGACTTGAATAGCAAATTCCATAATCTTGTTTTCTCATTCACTCTCATGCAGAGGGTGCCCTTCTCACGTTTTGGGAGCTTAGGGGAAGGAAGGCTTGGACCAGAAACCTCCCATTAAATATCAGGCCAATAATGGGCTTCCATACGCATCACACTCTGCAAATTCCAAGCTTGCACTGGCCAGATATGAGACCACACCCAAGCAGAGACCCCTGTTTATACAGAAATAGCTTTAATTGATACTAATGCCACAAAAACGAAATCTTTCCACTGTGTCACAAGGGCAAGAGAAATTCCTCAGCAAGTGAAATTAGACCTGTTGCAGACTTCTATTTTTTTTTTTCTTCTAAGCAGCTGCAGTTTGTGCCTATGCAGTTCTTTTATTTTTTTTTTTTTTTTATTTTGTGTGTGTGTGTGTGTGTGTGTGTGTGTGTGTGCACAGAGAGAGGGAAGGGGAAAGCAGCATTTCTGTAGAGTCTCAGGGACTCTGAAGCCCCTCAGTGCACAGGTAACACGATCAGGGGTCTGTAATATTGAAATGGATATCAGCAAAGCTAAAGGACAATGGTCTCTACCTGTGTGTCTGCTTCTCTTTTCTGGCGTCTTTTTTGCCCTGGCATGGTTCTTCACTCACATGGTGAGAAGAAATGAGCACTCCCTCCAAAGGAAAAGATGCCTGGGCAAAGCTCCCATGTTGCACAAATAATTCAACATGCAGCTGACAAGTGGTTCCTGAGAAAAAGGCCATCAGGAGCCTTGCTTTGATGCCCTTTTGGCTCTAGCATGGACAAGTCTGTATTTTTTACAGCTGTAATTTGTTGCATTGCTGCTTCTGTATCTGGTGAAATTGTTAGATTCTGACTTTGAAACCTTTTTTTCAGTTGTCACCTGAAATAACAAAAGATCCCTCAGAGGGAAGAATACATGAAGATGGACAGGTGCACAGTGGGAAGTTAACATTTATAGCAAATACTTAACTTCAATATGGAAAACTAGATGGCTTTTCAAGCAGCTTTGTTTAGTCTCCTGAGGAAGATTGTTGCCTGCCAGACTTTTCAAAGGAGGTGTTCAACAGGCCCACACATGTTCTTGTTAGGCGGTGTTTATCTAAAGTTTGGCAAAATAGTAAGAATCATTTGTCATTACAATAGCTAGTGTGCACAAATATTGCATACACAGTGGAATAAGTGTATGTCCTTTTCAGAATTAGTTTCAAAATTCTACTGAAAGAACCTACGCTGTAACTTTAATTATTTATGAAAGATGTCTCTGAGTGTATCTGGCCTTGTCAATGGTGTGAAAACATATTTAGTGCTTTGGGTTAGACTTAGGTTAGCTGGAAATACAGAAAATACGGTCAGGGCTTTTGAACACATCTTCACTAACTGTGTTTTAGAAACTGTAAACAGCAGTAAATTTTTCAACAGCACTTGTGGGCAAAATACATTTTAAAAGCCTTTACAAATATTTTTAAAGGCAGATTACCTGCTGTATTTACTACTGATGCTACCCTGTTGGAAGAAGGACCTGCATTCAGTATGCTGCTCTTCTTACTAAGTTATAAGCCTGTCTGAAGGGCAGACAAGATCCCATTTGAGTTCTGCTACTGAAGTATATTTATCTTGGATATCGTCAACTACAAAGTATATCTCTTTGGCATGAATTAACAGACCTCTTTTTTTCTGCACAGGAAAGATGTTAGCAGTTCGACCACAGCCATGTTTAAACATGCTTTTATGCTCCAGATCTGGAAGAAGAGCAATTCTAGGATACTGCACAAACAGATTTCTAATGAGACTAGAATTCATGGCATGCCATGTGGGTAGAAAATGTATGAATAAATACATAGTTCTAATCCCTATAATTTGTGTAATTAATTTAGGCTGATGACTCTTTTCACAGATTGTCATCAGAGTTGGGCATTGTAATAAATCTTTCATATCACTGCAGACACACCAAGTAACATCTGACTGTTCACCCTGGGTTCATCATCACAGTATCCAAGTATCTTCCACATGTTTATGGTCTTTTGCTCCTTGAATTTTGTGCATATCTGCATGTACTGTTTGTTAACAAATGTAAATTCATTTTTGTCATGGAGATAGTTACCAGTATTTCATGTTTATCCATCACTTGGAAATAATTGCTCTTTAGAAACCCGCTGAGCTCAGCATGCTTAAAATGCTGTGATGAGACTGAGGTGACTCAAAACACTGGGAAAGGATTTTCTGTTGTCAAGAAGATCCATGATTTATATTCATATACAGATGACACCAATTTCATGCACTTGACTATCATCAAGTGAAACCTTTTATGACTCCACCCGTATGAAGCAATCGTCTGTTAAACCATTCCAAAAAGTTTCTAAAATTTACTGAGAACTCTCCTGACACGCCTTTATTAACAAGCCAGCTCTGTAAGGAAAATATTTCATTGCACTCAGGAGATTCTGAAAACAGTTTTCCCTCGGCACTTTTTTGTTAGCAGGAAAAAGAGGCAAGTCTTCTTCAGAATGCAAAATGATTGAAAAGTGAACAATTTTCAGACATGTGGGAGGTTTGAAATGGTGCATTTACACACATACTGAAAAAAGCTGGTATGTTTTAAATATCTTCTTGTTGACGTTTTCATGAAAATTTGTGACTGAGAGGGGACAGGGAATACAGATAGAGCATAGTGTAGACCTAACTTGGCAATTAAATAAGGTTTATGCTTAGCTGACACACTTCTGATTTGTGTTTAACAAGTCTGAAGGCAATGTGCTAATACTGACAAAAATAGTTAAGGTTTACGGCCAAGAAAGAAGTACAACAAGTTATAAATGTGGTTGCAATAGTGGGAATCATAGAATCACTAAGTTTGTAAAAGACATCCAAGACCATCTGGTCCAACCATCCCCCTACCACCAATGTCACCCGCTAAACCATGTCCCTCAGCACCACGTCCAACCTTTCCTTGAACACCCCCAGGGATGGTGACTCCACCACCTCCTTGGGCAACCTGTTCCAGTGCCTGACAGCTCTTTCTGAGAAGAAATGTCTCCTAATTTCTAGCCTAAACCTCCCCTGGCACAACTTGAGGCCATTCCCTCTGGTTCTATCACTAGTTACCTGTGAGAAGAGGCCAATCCCCAGCTCCCCACACCTTCCTTTCAGGGAGTTATATTAGCAGTAAAAGCCGGGGATACCACACCTGTACTTGAGCCTGGAGAGAAAACAACAATACTTCATTTGGGAAATGGCCTTCGGCTGCACTATTAA